TTTAAAAACAAACAAAAAAAACCCCAAGCCCTGGCAGATGTTGCATATGATGAGAGATGTGTTGGCTCTGTATTGCAGTTCTTCAGATTCAGAAGCTGCACTGAATCCCATCACTGAAATCTATTTTCTGTTTTCTGACAGCTGTTTTTGCCATTTACTTTAAAAGCAGATGGGGAAAATGCAAAGAAGAGCTGTCAATTTTATTACCATGTATAATCAGCATCTGTGCAATACATCAGACTCATTGCACAGCTTACACTTTCTTCTCTGTAGTAAAAATTCTTTTGGGATTTCTTGACAAGCTTCTTGCAGGCTTTTTATAAATGAGTAGATGCTGGAATTAAAAGTATAGATTTATTAGCTGCTAAAGCCACTATTGTATTGACCAAGTTTACTTAATCGAGACGTTATGTTCTGATTGTTTAATTATAAAATATATGGTTAATTTGCTGCTCCATATTCAAATTGGTGTTTTCTTAAGGAATATGTTTTATTTTATTATTATGAAATACTAGTTTTTTAGATGTATCTCTGACCCCTTAACATGCATTTAGTTGCAGCACATCTCTGTGCAGTATTTTTAACCTTTCTCTACTGATCAGGCTGAGTATGTTGTACCCCATCTGCATGATTTAAAATAAAAATGATTCTGTACAGAACAGGGTGTTCTTCATTCCCAGTCTGCCCTCTTTCCTGGGGCAGAAGTCTTTCACAGAAATGACTTTTTATAGTGGGAAAATAAGCTAGTTTGATAGTGTCAGTATAAATAAGCATGTTGCCTGTCTCTGTAAGTGTGGAAGTAGTAATCAGTAATGGTGTGCTGCAGGTTTATAGTAGAGAACGGCATCTTCCTGGAAAGTGTCAGGTGATTTACATGTCACAGGGCTCTCTGGGGACCAGGTGGGAAGAATCTATCTACTGTCTGAGGACCTACTTTGATTTGATTTGATTAGGTTGAAAGTCACAACTGCAAAAGCACCTTTGTTTCTTAGAATAGTAGATGGTTGTACATTACAGTGTCTGCAGTGATAAGCAGGGGGGAGAGATTTAGAAAAATAAATGTTCACAGTACATTTCTTAGATAGGAGAGATTAGGGAATAGTCTTCAAAAAAGGTTTCAGCCAGTTTGGCAGTGCTAAAAGATGGTAAAACACTTATGTATTGATGCAGGACTTCAAAGAAGTGAAACACTAAAAGGAGCAGGAGACTTAAAATCAAGAGCATTAATTAGCGTTTGTGTGGTGATGGGCAGAATACTTCCTATACATGAGGCAGTGCAAGCTTTGATGAAGCATGTATTTAACTGTCTTCCTCCATTATCTTATCTTATTAAGTATGCTACTAAAATTGACTGTGGCTTTTGAAAAAGAAACCACCAAGGCACTGTTTATGATACATAGATGATCATTTATAAAAAAGAATGACTTCTGGGATGACTTTGAGAGGAGATGTTAAGCACAAAATTTAATACAGGTTCCATGAAAAAATACTGATGCTAGCTTTTTGTTCTGTGATATGATGGTATTTCTGGCTATGTCAGTTTCAAGCACTTAATAGCTGACTTTTTCAGTAATAGATAACTACATCCCATCCTATTCCAGAATTAAAAATGTTTCATTTAATATGAGGAATTAATATAAAGGAGTTTTTAATTACTATGGGTTTTATCAGTAGAACTCAAATTTCCTTTAGATATTAGTCTATCTGTCTTTGTGACCCTGGAATATATCTAATTAGATTTTCTCTGGAATGGTGGATGCAAATTTGCATTCTGTAAAATTTAGCAGATTCTAGGAAGATAAAGCAGGAGATTAGAGGATAACAAAGCTTGGAAATGTGAATTTAATTTACCATCTCTACAGACAAAGTGGGGTATAAAAGATTTTTCTTCTGTATTTATATAATCTTATTTTTCCTTTCTTCTACTGATCTCATTTTCTACAATGTGATGTGTTTTAGTGCATACACTTTGGCGTAAGTTAAGAAAAGACATACTTAGATGATCCTACTATAACAAATCCTTTATCCAGAAGAGCTTGCAAATTTATCCCAGCACTGCACAGTCTGTCTATTAGACTATAAATTTCTCACTAAAAGGAAATGTTAGGTAAAGTTGACATGGAGTTCATTTTACATATCCACCAGTGAATTGGTAGTTTGCTCTATTAGAACTGCTAGAAAATTAGCTTTCAGAAACATACTGCAGTAGGACTTCTTCAGGTTTTTGACCCCTATAATTTGTAGACAAATTGAACAGCAGTAAATTAAATCTGCAATTCCATCTTGTCATGAAAAATGGCACACATGTATCCTGTCAGGTACTTCAGTATATAGAACTAATACTTTTTTAAATTAAAAGAATATATTGGAAAATACTTTGTATCTTAATTTAATACAAGAAACACAAGATCTTGTCTTTCTCAAGGTACATGCCATATCGTGTCTAGTTAAGAGCATTATAAGATCAGTGAATGTAGACTGGAGCCCCTCTGGCACTATACAAATCTTTACATCATGGGCTAATAAGCAACATTTATAAATGAAGCTTGTGACTACCTTATGTGGGAGCATTGCCACTATGATATCTGTCTTTCACATATACACAGAGGCATTTTTCCCCAGCGTCTCTCTCTCCAGCAAGTCCTCTTCAGTAATATGGCCTAATCCTTTCTCATCCATTTTGCCTCCCCTTTCCAGTCCTCTGCATATACCCTACATGTTTCACTGTGCAAGATATTCTTTGGCTGGTTTTCAAAGCTACACATCTGATAAATGTCTGGTCAGGCTGTCCCTGGTGGTTAGGCAGTTGGTTGCTGCCAAATAGAGTGTGTAACAGGAATGGATGGATGGCTGCCATTCCCTTCATGGCTGGGTTAATTTGGTTTCTCAATTCCTTCCCATTGCTAAAATAAGGAAATTTTTAGAAACTTATTATCTGAAGGTTTTACCTCTCTTTGACCTAACCAGCTGAGTAGAAAACTATCTAGATGATAAGCATGCATAATCTTTACTTTCTAGGGAAACTAAGCTAAAAATGTAGTGTAAGAAAGAAAATGCTTGGGTTTGGTCTAACTTGGTGTTGACCTTTAACTTCAACAAGTTTTTACTTATTCAGATGTTTGCCTTCTGCATCTACTCAAGTGTACTGGAGAAGAGTGACCTTGTTCCTTCATAGCCTAGTCAGTACTCCTGGTCTGATGCAAAATGTGTTTCATGAATCTGAAAGGCTCAGCCAAGACGAAGAAAGCTTATGAAAGAATATTGTGTTTGTGGAAAAGGTTAACAGTCTTGTGCCACGGAATTCCCTCCAGTGTTTAAAATATACCTGAAAACTGTAGCAAGGTGGCAACATTTTCCTAGTTAAAGACTTTTTAAAAACATAAACCCTGTCTAAAACATCTCTGATGAAGTGAGATTTTCTGTGTGTTAGGAAGATTTTTTTTGAGACTCTTTTTCTTGGCTTCTTTATAAGCCATTCAAGAACAAATTCTGCTACAGTAAAGCATGGTCAGACTTAAGAGATTTTGAGTATTAAATTTATAAATATCTCATCTGAACAAAATTTCACAAAGGCAGCAAAAAATCTTTCTTCAGTTCAGCTATACTGTGATCTCTGGAGAAACTTTACAGAAAGAAACAATTGTAAGAATAGTTTCTTGGAAAGGCTTACTCAAAGTGAATATATGACCTTATTAGGTACACTGCACACACAGAGACTCATATGTCTCTTTATCAGAGCAAAACTGAAACAGAAGAGTTAATAGGACCATGGTAAAAGGAAAAACAAATAGGCTAATATCCCTGCATCTATATGTAAAAAAGGCTTTTTGACCTTAGATTCTGAGTCAATGTCTGAGTAATTTAAAATAGTGCAGTAAATCCCACAGAATTTTGATTCCTTATATGAAATAGATTTTTGGCATTGCTTTTATGCACATAGATAATAGTAAGAGTTGATACCTATGCATGAAAGAGGGAAATAGAAAGCTTATTAGATAAGCATGGTATATAGTTTGAATAATACTGCCTTTTCCCGCTGTACATTTTAGTATAAATAGTTTCATTCCTTATGTCTACGTAATAGAAAATTTTTCACTTCCATAACCATGAAATACTGTGGTCTGTGAAGAAATAGCTCCTATTTTAAGTGTTCTTATTGCTGAGTCTGTTTTGACTTGTTGGCAAGTGGGCCATAGGTCTGTATCAGCATATATTTCCCATATGCAAAGCTCTGGAAGTTAAAAAAATTATTGGAAAACTGTTTCCATCAGTAAATTCACACTTTGCAGTATGGCAAGTTTCAGTCACAGTCACTATACATACAAAGTGAGCATGGCCAGTAACATAAACTACAATTTTAGATTAAAATACTTGTTTAAAGAAGTCAGAAATGTGGCCGTGCAATCCTAATATTGTATCTTAAAGAAAATGTGTTATGTACTATATCTAAAGAAATCATGTGTGCATGTTTAAAAATATGGCATTTACCTTACTGCAGGTAACAACTTATGTTAATTGTTCTGTAAAAACATTTCTCTCCCCATTCCTATGGTTTGCATATTTCAATTATTAAGTCACAGAAGTCTTATAGACATTTCTAAATAAAATTACTATAGAAATTGCTGTATGTCAGTAATACATTGGGAGTCAATTAACAGTAACTCGAGTTTGAATTTTTGAATGACAGTTCTACCTTAAATTTTACAATAATCTTGTGTGCTCTGAAAATAAATTTTCTTTGGATACAAAATGAAGATTTGGTTTGAATTTACAACATTACACTTTATACGTTAAGAGGTTTGGTTTTACAGATAAGAACTGATATTTTTTGTAATGAAAACTGAAATGAAATGACCTTGTTTCTCAAGATTAAAATTATACTGAAAAAGAAAGGAAAAGCAGACTACTTTGTTAAAGTCTACCCCTTCTAGTTTGTTATGGCTTTAGATTGTTAGTTGGCTTGGGGTTTGTATTTTTATGTTGTTACTATTCTTTTGCAGACGGTTAGAACAAAATTCAATCAAGGTCATACCTCCTGGAGCTTTCTCACCATATAAAAAGCTTCGAAGAATGTATGTACTCAGTGATTTAGATTTAATTTTTCATTTTCATATATATTCATGCACATATAAAAACTTATAAAAATATTCTTTTTATGATAGATGTTGGTATACATCTGTCTTCATCATAAAAACATCAACATAAAAACATAAAAATAAAAGACAAGTCAAGGTCATACAGAGGAACTTCAGTTGATGTGTGAGCATTTAAGAAATTTTGACTGCTGAAGATTGACTGATATGGCAGCCTGATTATTAAGATCATATAGCATCTTGTCACATTAATAATAATTGTTTTTTACCAAGTCTTTAAATTATTTCATAGAAGAAAGACTTTACTGTGGTGAACAGCCTATAACAAAATAAATTAATGGGGATAAGCCACTGTTATTTCAGTATATTTTGAGGCTGTGTAGTCTTGTGGCCACAGCAGAGAATTCTTTACAAAATGTACTTAAGCAATTAGGAAAAGTAAATCTTTTTGTCATTCTTTTCCAAGAATTTGAAAGGTCTATTTTTAACCATGCTTTTTGTTTCAGCTTACTGTCAATTCTAGTGGTTTTATGTTAAAATTCATTGGCAGTGTCTCACATAAATATTTTAATTTCTCTCTCCATTCCATGCCTAATTCTAATTATATATTATTTTAACATTTGCTATTTTGAAAATAGCTTGAAATAATTGTATCAAATTTCATTTATTTCAGTGACCTGAGCAATAACCAGATCTCTGAAGCAGCTCCAGATGCTTTCCAGGGCTTACGTTCACTCAATTCACTGTAGGTATCTCTTTGACCTGTAAAACAGAATCAAATTTCTCATATTGTTACAGTGAAATTATTTTGGATTTTTGTCTCCCTGCAGAATTTTCGTAGAAATTCAATCAATTCTGAAAGCTGTGATAATAATTTCAGAATATTAGGGTGATAATTGAGTATTGTATCGCAGCTGGACACTAAAAGTGTATTGTTTTTTAATAAGTATGCTCATGGCAAAGAGTTGAACAAAATCAAACATTTATTTTATTCTCTGGTTAGTTGTCCTTACAAACAGCAAATCCACTTACCAAGGTCCCTTGGTAAGGCTGTAAACAGTGAGGTGCTGATTCTGCTGAGAGCTCTTTGGGCAACACACCTTTTGGGGAAATATGTGATCCTGCTACCTCACAGGAACACAAGGATCTTGCAAGTATCAAGTTGTTGCTGTTAAACTCCTTTCAGTAAAATGGAAATTTATTTATTTTTAAAGTCAAAATTACATAGTATATGCCTTTCATAATGGTGGATTTGTTTGCTTTATTATTTCCTGGTATAGTGTCCTCTATGGCAATAAAATTACAGAACTTCCAAAGGGCCTGTTTGAAGGACTCTTTTCTCTGCAATTGCTGTGAGTATTTTATTAATATTTATTCTATTTTGGGATAACTCAGAAGGGTAAACATGATGATAAATTTATGCCTGGAGAACTGGCAGGAAATCCCATCTGTAAGATCAGAGTATAATAAAAACAAATTATGTTAAAGCCAAAGGAGTCAAGACTGTTGTAGGCCAACTTGCCATTCATCCATAAATTTGATCATATCTCAGTTAATGCCACCCTAAAATAATTAAGATGGAACTACTCTCTTGCGTGGATTTTGTAAGGATAAAGCACATAAGATATGATACTGTCTCGCCCTGTAAGCAGCAAATAGTATATATAAAGTTGTGTGGGAACCATAGAAGGAATATTTGTATGTTTTATACAGAGAAAATATGTAGTGGAAATGATACGTAGTTGTGTTTCTGGTTGTACACGTTGAAAAACAAAGTTGCAGTACAGTTTCATTGGTGACTTTTAATGTTTTCTTATAATATTCTCTGTACAATTTTTTGACTCTGCGAACTCTAGCTTCTATTTTAACACTTTGGAAATTTTCACATGTAATCTTATAAACCATTTATATTTAGATTTAATACTGGAAATAAAGAAGAATGTCATGGTGATACGTTTATCAAATATTGTCAATATTTAGCAGAGGAGGCTGTGCAGTAGTTGTACTGTGTAAAAGAAATTTGTGAAATAGGAGATAGAAACAGTGGTGCTTTGGAATAAGTTGCTGCAGAATAACTGACTTGATTTAAAATTGCTTCTTAAAGAATTTAAAACTTGTTCCCACTTGATTAGAAGTATTTAATGTCCATATTTCATAGTGTAGTGATTAGCAAAATGTCTGTTAACAACTTACTGAAGATGGTGAAACAATAAATACAAAGAAAATGCAAGTTTTATCACCACCTAGAGGTTTACATTTTGATTTATTTTTTGTCACAAACTAGTATAGTAGTGGAGGGGTATGCATTCCTGTTTTCCTTTAAAGAGTTTATGGTTATGAGAACATATTTCAGATTTTGTAAAAAAAAAAAAAAAAAAAAAAAAAAAAAGAGGATGAGACATCTTCTGTTTATTCTGTACTAAAAAAAAGTCCGTAGCTTGATATACTTTACATATACAATACATTTCAGTCTAAGTAAATTTCTACTTGTGTGCTAAAACTTTTTATCAGAGCACTGGTTTTCAAATCCACCATTCTATTCCATTTCTGGCTGGAAATGGGGAAAAAAAAATCAAAAATACTTGGTTATAAAAATGCATCTAGTTGAATGACATTTTTATTTTTTTTCTTTTCAAAACCATGAAGGAATTGGTTTAGATTGGCTTGTTTGCTTTAACTTCAGAAGTCTGGGAGGTACAGGGAAGAAAAGTTTCCCTTTGGAGATGGAGAGGAAAAGGGATCCAAGACAGATTTGGATATATTCCATGCCACCAGTTTTTACTACAACTCTGTTAATGTGGCAGCATGCTGATTAGTAACATATAATTAAAAGTGCCACTGCACATCTCTTCCAGCTAATGAACACAGTGTTCAGTTCCTTTTTTGTTTGTTTATTTATTTGGCAAAAGGAACTAATTTTCCTTGCAGATACTTGATTCTTTAAGCTTCTTTCTTTGCACAGACAAATACCACACATACGTGTTTTACCAGCACATGTAAGAAATGTGATTTTACCTGAATAAACCCACACATTTTAATTCCAAGTTGCAAATACTTAGGAATAATTTCAGAACACCTAAATAAGATACTTCAATTCCCTGAAATGCTTTATGACACTGTCAATTAGTATTTGTTTCTACAGCTCTTGTTCTAGTTACAAATGCACACAAAGAATTATCTGTGAAAAACGCTGAAGCTGCAGCAACACTGAGCAAATTCTTTCAATTTTATAATTGTCTTCAATTAAACAGATTATTGAATGCCAACAAGATAAATTGCCTGCGAGTTGATGCTTTTCAAGATCTGCACAACTTGAATCTTCTTTCTTTGTATGACAACAAGCTTCAGACCATTGCAAAAGGCACCTTCTCACCCCTACGTGCAATTCAGACCTTGTATGTATGCTCTTGTTTATGGTTGTCTTTAGTATTACTTCATATTCTACAATGTACTAAAAATATCAGGAACTGCTGAGACCAAAGGGAAATAATGTGTGAAATTATGATTTTTTTTTCTTCATGAAAGGCATTTGGCTCAGAACCCATTTATCTGTGACTGCCATCTGAAGTGGCTTGCGGATTATCTTCATACAAACCCCATTGAGACTAGTGGTGCCCGTTGCACCAGCCCCCGCCGTCTGGCAAACAAAAGGATCGGACAGATCAAAAGCAAGAAATTCCGCTGCTCAGGTAATTTTCTTAGTTCAGCTGCTATTTTTCTTTTATTGGAAAAAACAGTGGTTATAGAAGTTCTAATGAAGGCAGCTGGCTCTCTGCGGAATTATTAAACAGTGCAGAATCTTTTTTAGTTCTTTGACTGAATGGGGGGGAAATCATGGAAGTCATAGACTATGGGATCACGGAACATTACTATAGTTAACATATTTGGCACTATTTCTGAGTAGCTTTAAATCTAACAAAAGAAATGCAGTATATAATACTTCAGAATGAAATGCTGAAGTTATTCACTGCAAGTATCACCAACATAAATCATTTTATAAAATTTTCACAAGGCTCTGGAGTATGTGAAAGATCTAAAAATTTCTAGCTAAATATGGAAACATGACATACTCATTTTAGACAGGCAACTTACCTCATACTGAAATTTACTGTTTTCTTTTTTCTAATCTCACTCCATTTCCTACTTACATTTCTCTAAATCCTAACTTGTCATATGGTATCCAGCTGTTCCAGGTGCATTTCACATTCTACAATTTATTCAGTCTTGAGTGCAAATACCAGATGAGAACTGTTTGTTATCCATGTTCCGGATACATTTATGACTATTCACACTTTGTTGTTTATCAGCTCTCGTTGTGAATACACATTTTTTCACTTAATTATCTGTAGTTAACTGTAGTCCATACTTAATCTAATAAAACTCATTCTTTGCTTGCTGACATTCAGGTGCATCTTCTATTTTTTTTTTTCTCCTTATTTAGCTAAAGAACAGTATTTCATTCCAGGTAGGTTTGGCTCTGCAGTAAGATTGACTAACTGCAGATACTCTCTCCTTTTCCCCAAAAAAGCAAAGTTTGTTATAGCTTTTAGGAAACTGATGCATGTGTATTAACATTAGTCAATACCTGTAACTAGACATAGTTTTCCTTTGTAGAGTACTAGTAGTTCTGTTTTCTGAATATAAGAGCTTAGCATGCAGCTCCATTTACTTTTTTTTTTTGTCTCACAAATTTGCACACAACCTACCAAAATTATACCTCTACTTAAATTATTTAGAAGGTTGCACCTGCTAGTTCATATTTCAATTAACACCTTTACTTACCTTGTTCCTTGCCTTTCTGCAACTACTGTTTTTAAAATGTAGCTCCTAAGCTGCTTTTAAACACAGGAAACCATACTACCATCAAAGAGCTAGTACAGCTTTAAAAAAATAAACATTTTACAAATGAACATTTCTTGTCTTGCTTTCTTGCTTTACACTGGCTGCAGCTACTGCTTGCTCACCCTCCTTGTGTTTACGAAATCACAGTGGAATGCTTGGAAAAGAAAGATGATATTCTTCATTAAAGGCATTCTGTGGTCACACACATACAATGAATCAGAAATGCTTTCCATTAAGGAAAATACCCTTTAGAGTTGGGGTGAAACACCAATTTACAGACCGCTTTAAGCTACAATAAGTCTGTGATATTTTCACAGAAGATTTACTGGCGTTGGCCCTAGCTCTTTGAAATGTGTTTCTTTCTTTATTTTACCTTGCTTGTCAGGTGCGTGCACTGATTTCTTAACAGATAAAAAAACAATGATGCACTTGCATTTTGTTCCTAACAGATTATAAATGATTGATTGGCAAAATAAACAAGGGAATAATGAATCCATTGATGAATTACAGTATGTGATTTGCAAGCAGGGTTTTCTACCATAGTTTAATATCTAGAAAAATATCTACAATAATTGATTATGACACCAGTGCACTTGTTCTTTCAAGTACTACAGGTATATTGTCATTCCGCAGTGGTCTTAGTCTTTGTCTTTTCAGCTGGTACGTTTAAAAGCTCTCTTCTAATGCTGTGAGATGTATCACTTAAATTTGCAGCAGTCATGTGAAGTTCTTCATGCCCTCATAATAATATGTTGGTTTGAATATGAATAAAATGAAATACAAAATAAGGCAGCAATTTGTCAGCATTGGCAGCCGCGAAAATGTGTTTTAAAGCAGCATAAAACAGAGGGGGATTCAATTTCTCAAACCTGTAGTACCACTCAATTCCTTAATGAGTAGAACAGCTGTATTCCTGCCACAGAGTGACTTCTACTCAACCTTGCCAGCACAACTTTTGTCTCTGAGTTAGAAGTGTTTTCTTGCCAGCAAATGTCTTCACAGCCTGTTTATAATATGGCCACACATGCAGCTAAGGTTTGTTTACATACCCGTTAAAAAAATGCTATTTCTGAAAAAATAAGAAGATGAAGAAATTAATCAAAAAGTGCTACAGACTTGCTTCTTGAAATAGAGATTCTGTGCTTTCTCTTTCTATCAGGTTATCAGGGAGATGCTGCATAAAATTATTTTAGTTGTTCAAGACCTTGTCCCTGAATATTTTAGTTGTTTGAAGTGCTAACAGTGATTTACTCTGGACACAGGAGAAGAAATATATATATATTTGTAGCCTGGCCTACTGGATATTTTAAAGTTCTAAACCCATTTCTTTACACTTCGGTAAATACTGTAAAAATACTAGCATTTCTTTACAAACTTAAATATTTTTTATATTTTTTTTAAATATGTCATTGGGAGATCTTGGTCTGCAGATACTAGGAAGTCTTAGTAGAATTTCACTGGAGTTATTTGGAAGACTGAAAGTTATTCAGCCATTAAGTTGAAAAAAATACTGTTTGTCTGCTAGCTCATATAAATATTCCCTGTAGCTATATGTGTTACTTAGACATTTACAAACACTAAATAACATAATATGTGATGATTGTTGGGGTTTTTTTATTCCTCCACTGAGGAATCTGTTTTCATGTTTCTTTGGTTTACTGAGATTTTAAGTGGCATAGCATGTATATATGTTCAAGGGAACAGCTTTTAAAGAATGTGTTCAAAATAGTGAAGAATAATGCATGGAAGGCATTATCATCCTATATGAAATCTGTAATTATCCCCAATATTTTCTTCATTTGTTAATGCCACTTAAAATGAATTATTCTTTCTCTCTGCTGAAGTCAATACCCTTTAGCAACATCATCTAATCAAACTAAAGTTGAGTAAAGAACATGAGATCTTACTTCATGTTTTTGTCTTAATTGGGATTACTCTGTCTTTCTTTCCTTCTTGGCTATCTTTACTTTTGCAGGAGTTCACCATTTTGGCTGTAAGTAAAGTTCAGTGTCTGAGCTAAATCACAATGTACCTCCCAGCCCTGATGCACCTTCTACTAGTCTCAGTCTTTTCACCTTTGTCCAAGAAGAACCCACAGGTCCTTTCAGCTTCTCTTTGTTTTCTTTGTCACCCACCCTCAGTTCCTTACTGGATGTTTTCTCCTGATATGTTTAGGATGTTTTCTTTGACTGACTCTGGGAAATGGTGGAGGAAACTTTCAATATAGTTCATTTTTTTTGTATTTTTTATTTAATCTGTGACAGTAATACTGTTACTGTGGCACTGGACATTCAGTAATAAGAATGCCATGTCATGTAAGCAAGTATTAAACTTCAAATGCTTCTGTAACTTATACCTGCTCCTTCCTCTTTTCCCTTGCTCTTATCCTTGGCCTAATGGATGCAGTTTTGATAATGTAGCGAGATTTTCTGTTGTGCTTGATCTAACCATGTGGTTGTGAGGTATGAGTAAAACATGGTTCTGTCAAGCACCATGGAACGTCACGCAGCTTTCTACAGCATGGCAAGCTGCTGAGGCTTAAGTCAGGATCACACATTTTTTAAATTAAAGCTGAAAACGGGGCTTTCGATTTTATGTGTTTAAGATGATATGGAGTATCAAGAGTATTAAAAAAAAAAAAAAAACAAAAAAACAACAACAACAAAAAACAAAAACACAGAGGTTAATGAAGTCCAGTCAACAATACAAATTTGTAACAAGAGAAAAAGAAAAGGTGGCATTCAGGATTTATTTATTCTTGATACAGAGAAAGAAAATAAATTCTAAAAGAATCAGTGACATTTGTGTGATTAGCTATAAACAAGGCTAGATTGGCTGACAACATAATCAGCAGAAAGTACAGCTGTGAAAAGCTCAAGTTAATGTTATCCTGTTATGTGAAGTTGGTCACAGTTTCTTTTTCCAGAATATCTTAAGCCCCTATATTTAACCCTCTCTTGAAGCCCTTGTGTCTGTTCAGTATCACAAAGTTTATCATACATTTCCCAAGTTGCCCACCCGTTATCTGCATTGCAGACATCTTTTCAACCTTCTCACAAGAACCAAATCTTATACTTTATTGACTCAGTATCTGTATTTTGACTTGACTCTTCCACAGGCACTGAAGATTACAGATCCAAATTAAATGGAGACTGCTTTGCAGATTTGGCTTGCCCTGAGAAATGTCGCTGTGAAGGGACCACAGTGGACTGCTCCAATCAGAAACTCAACAAAATTCCTGATCACATCCCCCAGTACACAGCAGAGTTGTAAGTTGAACCCATAATAAAGCATTGTTTGCTTATGGAAAAACCAACTAAAATTTTAAAATATGAAACCACAGCTTTACTTTTTTGAACAACAAAAATTAAATGTAGCCTCTGTGGTGCACTTCAAAGGATTAGATATTAATTAAAATTATTTATTTTATTATTAATAAAAGTCCGTATTTTTAAAATGAATTATTAATAAAATTCAAAATAATATTAATAAAAATAATTTCAGTACCATGTAGCCTTAAAAAATTTTGATAAATAAATAAGGTAACTATTCAATGTTTCCAGTACATGAGTACTTGGATTTTTTTGAAAGGTGGTGGGGTTAATTTTGCTGTTTTATTTTAACTACAAGAGCACATAGGACATCCAGTAACCAAAATTATGTCTTAAAAAGTTCTACCTAGGTGTTTAATAAGATAGAGCTGATTCTTCTTATGCAAAGCACACATCATGTGTGTCAGACAGGAGACCAGAGGAAGATAAAGAAGACAAACAAGACAGAGTTGGGTTAAGAAGAGATAATAATATAATGAACAGAGATGAACAGAAAAGAAGTCACAGATTATTACTTGCTTAATAAGTGCCATACGGGAATGATTTGTAGGCATTACAACTGAAGCAGTCTTCATGGAGGCACTGAAAGATAAAATTAAGACAGCTTTACAAGGTTTTCCCATGCACAAAGCATAGTGCAAAAGGGAATGCAGAGATGCTTGAAGTATCAACACAAAGACAGGAGATGAAAGTGGCTGCCGTTGGCAGAGCAAAGGCAGGAGGAAATAAATGTTTTTTCCTAGGAGATTCAGTTTAAAGAACAAGGCAGAATGTTGAGGGACAAAAGAGGACTTTGATTTGTTGTAGTAAAGCAGGAACAGAGATGTGGAGATGGGCGTACTGTGATCAAGTTGTGACCCATAGGGGTGAGATGAGGAACAGTATAGCACATCTCTTAAGAGATAATCGGTCTGCTGCTGGCATCAAAGCAACAGTACAGCATTGAAGGTATGAAATACTGAGACCGTGGTTAAGGATTTTGAATATCTAGACAGGAAAAGGAATCTGAAACTGAAATATTGTGTAAATAGAGATGAAGACTTTTGTCTGTCTCACCTGGGAGAAGGAGTTGAACTTAGTGATGTTCTAATTACAGATCTGACTGGTAATTCTAGTTGTGCCCAGAATGATGGCAAATTCAGTTGAAAAAGTGACATATCTCAGCTTTTGCCCATGTTCACACTGTTGACTTACTGTTCATAAAGTACTGCCAGAGAAGAAAAAGTTGACACACAGTCTTGGGAAAAGGGAGATAGATTTCAGTTGAGAAATACTTTTTATGTTATGCTGTAATATTTTGAGATAAAATTACTTGAATTGAAGAATAAAAACTGATGGAATGGGTAACAGGTTAAAGTGTAGGAGGAGATCATAAAATAATGATTGTAAAAATCACAGGTACCGAACCAAGAAATGAGAAATGGAGTTTCTGAAGTGACAAGCATGCATTGTCTTGATTCTTAGTAGGATTCATGTTTAATTCTCTTTGCCCTGTAGAAATAATAATATTGATTAATTTAATTGTTGCTTTTCTTATCATTTATTTACATGTGGAAGATAAACTTCAAGTGTTTTCTTTCTATAATTATGATTCATACATATTAAATTCAGAAGAAACAATTAAGTCATCAAGCTTCATCTGCTGTGTATCCTAAACTCTCAAATTTCAATCAACAAAAAAATTGTGTTTGACTAAAACATAATTCATGTTTGGTTACAGCACTTCTTTCAGAAAACATCCAGTCTTGATTGAAGGTATCAGTGGATTAAAAATCCCTGAGAGTGTTTAAATTTCCCTGAGTGTTACAATAGTTAATCATCTCCCTTCACTTCTGTTAAAATCTTATTAAAATAGGAACTTTTACTTCCACATGGAATCTGCCTCTCTTCAGTTTTCAGCATTGTTTCTTTTATATTTTTTGCTGTTAAAGAACCCTTTTCTATCCAGCACTTCATCCAAGTAAGATGATCTCAAACTGTAACAAAGTCACTTTTCAACCTTCTTATTGATAAACCATACAAATTGTTCTTCATGTCTTTGATGTAATAAAAATTTCAACAGCCTTGCAAGTATTCTAGAGGAGAAAGAGGTATTATTTCTCTAGTTTTTTACTTCCTCTAAGTATCTAATTGCTCTAGCTAAATACACTCTCCTGGTGTTTGCATCACTGATGCAAAAGTTGCGGCTCTTTCTCTTGTTTCATCCTGTTATTCCTGGTATTTGATGCACTGCCTCTGTTGCTCCTCTTGTTGGGACTTTCCAGTCTAGTTCTAGGGCCACTCTGAGTTTCCAGTTCACATTTACTAGCATTATACAAGAACAGGGAGTTAGCCTTTCATTTCTTTTACCCACCAAATTTGAGAGAAAATACTTGTTAGAGTCAAATGACATTGATGCTTCTATAACAGTGATAATAAAGGCTATATTATTTTTTGCAGGGTGTTGTTTGGGGCTGAGACTCAGCTTGGAAAGAAAGCTCAAAAGTGAGGAAAAGAGTATCAACTGTGTAAATTGCAACAGTAATAATATCACACACACAAAAAAAAAAAACTATTTCTTTAGAATAGTTTTTTTGTTTTTTTTTTTTTTTTTAATCTGAAAATACTAATATAGTTCAAGACAGATACTTAATTATAAAAGGTGAAAACATTTATAAATGAGCCAAGTGCTGTTCTTACTATTTCTATTTTCTCACTTGCTCACAGTCTTCCAGAAAACCAGTGAAAGATCTGTCTAATCTGCCACTGAAATATTTGAGATAAAGTACAAGCCTGTAAATGCACCCCAAAAAAAAAAAAAAAATTCATGTAGCATTCTAATATTTAGGAGAATTCAGGAAGTATTTGGTAAAGCACTCTAACTAGAGCCCTCAGGATGAACACTAAATAAAAACAATTTCAGTCCTATATGTTCAATTTTTATAATGATTTTACAATCGCTGATATAATACCAGATCCTAACAAGATAGTTTTCGAAAGTATGAATATCACTTCTGTATGTAGCATTCCAGGAAGGTTTGGCTATTGTTCCAAAACATGCAAACATCTTATTGTGTTAATAAAACAGGAAAAATCATCAAATAAAACAGAAAAACAGAATATTTAGACTTCATCATCAAATGCTTGTTTACTTTTTTGTTTTGAGAATGACATTTCAGTACTTTTATTTGAATAAACCATATACAAGTATTTTTAAGATCATTTTCATAATCCAGTGATTGACAGGTAACAACTACCATTATTGTCTTTATCGGTAAAGAGCACTGGGTTCAAAAAATAATATTAAGATCCAGAAGGAAGATACCACCACATCTGTTCATTTTCCATTCATCTGTAATAATTGTGTGTAGTATCACTTACCATGATAATAGAATGAAAACTTCTTGCACATATATTTAACAATTCTAGAACTAAAGCCAGCAATCTCAACCCATAGAAATGCCATGTGATCCATGTGGTCATTGCTCTGACCACAAACCCATAAGTTGTAACTCTTGATGTCCCTTTACATGTGGGTATATCCTCAGTGTTGATGCATGATTCGTGATATCACCATATGCACCACATTAGGGAGAAGGTATGATTTGTGCTACAGTTTTAACCAAACACAGTACAGTCATTCAACCCATGCTTCTTTTCCATCATACAGAAGTATGGAGGAATTTCTCAAACACTGAAAATCCTCAAAACATGTGCAAAATTCTTAAAATTGTTGTGTAATATTGATAGCAGAATAAGACTAGTTTAAATAAAATAAAAATTCAAATTCCACATATGACATTAGGTAAAACTAATTAGCACCACAAACACAAAACTGAGGAATAATCAGTAACTAGTTCAAGATAAAAGGCTATGGTGGTATCATACATATTAAACATGAAGGACTGCCATTGGGCACTGCTACAAATTTCATTTTGGGATACATGTACAGGAGTGTGGTATGTAAGTTATATGAAATGATTGTTTTACTGTACATAACAGTAGTAAAATATCAGCTGGAATACTGTGTCGAGGACTTCACTTTTCAAGATGTATATGGATCACTTGGAAAAAATTTAAAGAACAAGAATCATCTAGAAAAAAAAGATTTCTGAGGAAAAACTGGAAAGATTTAATGCATTTGTGTGAAAGAAACTTGAGGGAAGACCAAGTAAATTATTTTTAATATGTAAAAGGATGTTGCAAAGAGGAAAGGATCAAATTGTTTGCCTTTTTCAATGGGGTTAGAAATGTTTGTAATAGAGCACAGCAAGGAATTAGTATTAGAATCAATAAATGTTTTGACAAGTCATTCTACTAGTTGTTATATCACTTAAATAGTATTTTAAAATGTCACCATTTATAGAATGCTTGGTGCTTCTGTTGATGGACAGGGGAAAAAAAGCTATTGCCAATAATGAAGAAATTTGGTAACTAACACTGTTCAAAAATTAATTTGATATGCTCCCACTAAAAATCACATTAAGTTATTCAGTGGATTTTCAGAGATGGCAACATATTTTGAAATTCATGTTCCTTGTACTTCAGTTTGGTATACACGTGTTCTGTGTATATCCAAAAAAACCTCTTCCTGTCTTCACTCAGTTTGGTTCTGTGCTGAAGCTATACAGCCATACCTTCAGATTTACAACCTTAATTTCCCTTCTGGCTATCACTGAGAATAGGCAGGAAGGAAGGATGAATGAGCAGTTTTCTTTTATTTTCTAGAGTTTTTTTAATCTTGTCTTGCAATAAGGCAATTCTGAAAAGCATTCTGGGTTTAGAATTAAGCTGATGTTCATTTCACAGTGATCCTTGTCAGTCATCTCTTTTCCTTCCTGTTTAAGATCTCTAAATAAAACCTGGACAGATTCCCTTCCTTAATAAGATGACTCCATTAAAACTTATAAAGAATCTAAGACTCATAATTTCCGTTTTCTTTTCAAGAGAGGAAATAAGGAATACTGCGTTAGTTCAGATATTTTTAGAAATATAGATGGTCCCCTAACCTAGCAGCTGCTAAAGTATACTACACTGTATATACAGCTTTCATAGATGGGCAGGAAAGATCAGTATCCAGCTAGTATTTGTTCATTATATACCATCTTGTAGTGTTACAAATCAGCGTTTAATGTGTCCTTACGCAATATCTGTGTATTAAATGTAGTGGTGTGAAAATAAACCATGGTCAGAGAACTGCTTTTAAATTCTTAGGAATACCTACACAGTGTGTTTCAGTCCCTGTTTAAAAGAGGCATTGAGCATAAAGTAATTATTTCATTCTCGTAAATAGTGTTCAGTGAGCACCTCCAGATGTTTGGCAGACCCCACCTGATATCCTTTAAAGAACAGTAAACTAATCTTCAGTGGTTTATATGTACTTCTTAAAGATTTTTATTTATAAATTGCCATGGAATCCTTCCTTAGTTACATTTTTGGTTTTCTTCCCTTAGAAGAAAAATTAAAAACATCTTTTTACATTTCTCTGCAGTTTTAGGTGTATGATATTTTGTGATCTGGTTTTGATTCTGTATGTCTTATGTATGCCTATGTTTAACTAATGAGAATGTTCATTCACAGGAATTATCAGAATTAGAAATGTCAGTATATATGCTATTGTTCTTCAGCTGTTCAGTTAAACAAGTCTGAAAAGTTCACTTAGTATAGAACATTCTGTACCAGTGCTTGAATATTTTTTTCTGAAAGTGATGTAATTTCTCATAGGCGACTAAATAACAATGAATTTTCAGTCCTGGAAGCTACTGGAATCTTTAAGAAACTTCCTCAGCTGCGTAAAATGTAAGTGCAATCTCAGTGACCTTGTCTATTCACATAGCATGTTAACTCCTTGCTGTGTTTCTCCAATTTTCTTAGTTCTTATCTATAACAGATTCAGTATATTCTAATAAAAACTCAAGATGGGTTTAAATTAATCACTGAGGTAGGTCAGAGTTGGCAGCTCTTCTCTATGGGACTGGGCACTGCCAGCAACAACTTCTCATGGTGTATAGCTCCAGCACCTTCACTGCAGTGTCCAGCCAGCTGGTCTGTTATGCTGCCACAGCAGGGAGCTCACAGCATAAGCTACTCAAAAAAGGTTCCAGTAATCTTTTTTAACTTCCTGTACTACTCCCTAACCAGGCAATTTTGCCTCCTTCAGCACATTCAAGACATGCCTTTGATTCTGTGCTTCATTAAACTGTCATTAGATGAGGGGAATATCAAAATTAAATGACTCAGAAAAAAATGGTTTGATAGATCATCCATGTAAGTCCACTTCACAGTTCATGTTCTAAGAGGAGTTTATAATCTTACCAGTTGCAATTTTTACTAAAAATAAATCTACGAAAACCTTTTCTTTCACTTATGTAAAAGACATATTTAAGGGTAGATCATTTAGTTGGACCTAGTGACTCTGTGATCAATCTTTTCAGGATTAGGTCCAAACATAAATAGTAAGTGAAGAAAAATGCAAGTAAAAATAGATCAAATTAATTAAAATAATGCACTGCTTTGTAGCCACCGAGTTACTACCATTTGTAAAATATCAGTCAACATTACTATTGGCCAAAATCTCAAGGGAAGCAAAGTATTACTTAAACTACTGTTAACCTTATCCAGATCCTTGCTGGCAGCTGTCACAATCACGATTAATTAAATACTTATTATTATTTTTAGTTAATAGACAAAGATTTTTTAAAAAAGAAAAACAATCAACTTTGCTTTTGACCCATCCACTTGAGTATACCTTGCCACTTTGGACTGGGCTGCAATACTTAAAAAATGAAGGTAGGGATGTCTGGCACAGCAGTGTTTTGGTGCTAGACCATAGATATCCAGTTTTCTTCATTCCTCAGGGATCTCAGATTAGCACTTTTTACAGCTAAAGAGTGCCTTTAAAATAAATAAAATAATTGATGTGACATACACATGCACACACATATATCAATTCTTCGTATTTAAGAACAGGGAAAAGGGAATATGCTGTCAGTAATTACATATTTTCAGGCTATAAAGGTAGCTTAGTAAACATTTCAGGTCATTTAAAGCTAGTGTGCTGCTTTTTAGTTGAGGAGGTGTTCAAGACAAAAGAAAGAAAAGGAAGAATATTAATCAGCCTCAGTGTGGCTGTCTGTTGGAGCTCCCAAGAGCTTTGAAATCTGGATAAGTGACAAGGGAAAAAATTGAGAAAATGTTAATGAAAAGTTAAAGTTTTTAATAATACTGCTCTGTAACTTCCTAATATAGTTATCAGTTGTTACAACATTCTTAAATTCAGAGTAGAGTGACTGGTTAAGCATGACTGGAAAGCAGTGAGGTCACAGAGACACCAATACGAGTGAATTCTGTATTTTTGTGGAGCTCATATTTCTTCTGGAGGTTCAGATAAGTGCAAAGGTCTTTCTGCACAGATGACATTGAAAAATTAGGGCCTAAACGTTTAAATGATTTGATGGTTCATCAGTAATAAAGCATGTGTATGCACTGCATCATTGATTAGATATGCAACATTAATCCTTAAAATATCCCTGTGAAGTGGGTGAAGTAGTGTCCATGTTGCACCAGGAACAAATAAGATTTTAGGAGACTAAGGGCTTGACACGGATAAGCCAGCTGATATGAGAAATAACGAGTTTCTTGCTTCCAGTCTTGTGCAGCACCTTACAGAAGAATGAACAGCTCCACTGTGAAACTAAATGAAAATGATGGTTGTGGATGCTGTCTACCTAGACATTAATAAAGCCTTTGACACCATTTCCCATAGCATTCACCTGGAGAAAATGGCTGCTCATGGCGTGGATGGGCGTTCACTTTGCTGGGTAAAAAACTAGCTGGATGGCCAAGCCCAAACAGTTAAGAGTTAAATCCAGTTGGCAGCCAGTCACAAATGGTGTTCCCCAGGGCTCAATACTGGGGCCAGTTCTGTTTCATATCTTTATCAAAGATCTGGACAATGGGATTGAGTGCACACTCAGTAAGTTTGCAGACAACACCAAGTTGGGCAGCAGTGTTGATCTTCTTGAGGGTAGGATGGCTTTACAGTGGGATCTGGGACAGGCTGGATTGTTAGGCTGAGGCCAGCTGTATGAGATCAATAAGTCTGAGTGCTGGGTCCTGAATTTGGGTCACAACAACCCCGTGCAACGTTACAGGCTTGGGGAAGAGTGGCTGGAAAGCTGCCTGGCAGAAAAGGACCTGGAGGTGTTGGTTGACAGCTGGCTAAATATGAGCCTGTAGTGTGCCCAGATGGCCAAGAAGGCCATAGCATCCAGGAATAGCATGGCCAGTAGGTCTAGCAATGTAATCGCCCCCTCTACTTGGCACTGGTGAGGCCACACCTCAAAAACTGTATTCAGTTTTGGGCCCCTCACTAGAAGAAAGATATAGAGGTGCTGGATTGCATCCAAAGAGCAACAAAGCTGATGAAGGGTCTACAGAACAAGTCTTACAAGGAGCGGATGAGGGAACTGGGATTGTTTAGTTTGGACAAAAGGAGGTTCAGGGGAGACCTTATCACTCTTTACAACTACCTGAAAGGAGGTTGTGGCAAGGTGGGTGTCAGTCTCTTCTCCCAATTAACGAACGATAGAATGAGAGGAAACAGCCTCAAGTTGTGCCAAGGGAGGTTTATACTGGATATTAGGAAAAATTTCCTCATGAAAAGGTTGTCAAACATTGGAACAGGCTGACCAGTGAAGCAGTAGAGTCACTATCCCTGGAGGTATTTAAAAGATGTGTAGATGTGGTGCTTAGGGACATGATATAGTGGTGAACTTGGTAGTGTTAGCTTTGTGGTTGGACTCAATGATCTTAGAGCTTTTTTCCAACCTAACTGATTCTATGATTCTCTGATTGTATCCTTTATCACAGTCAAGATGTACATTAAATTAGAGCTAGGCTAGAGCTGAGGAGTCACAACTCAAGATTAAGCCACAAATCCTTGTTTTCTATGTCTTAGATAATGGCAGTAGTTCATTCTGGCAAGTGTATGATTTTTTTTCTAACAATTAAAATCCTGTTCTAGAAGTTGCATTGAATAATGTTTGATTTTCTTCCCAACACCATTAATTCTATCAAATAAAAAGTTTTTAGCTTCGCTTCATTTTACGTTGTCTTGGAGCATCTTTAAGAGCTTTCTTAAAATCACTAGTGTATTGTAACACTTAGTGTGTAGATATGTACTTCTGTAATATGGGTAAATATTTATATGAAACAAACAAAAGGAGACAAGAATAATATGAAGAATCTTCAAGAAAATGTGTGTTGCCGCTTATGTGTCATTTTGTATATGTAGTACAGATACTACCCATTTGGGATGTAATTTCCATATTTCAACTAAAACCCATAAACACTAAATATTTTGGCAGTATTTTAGTTCATATTCCCACATTTTGATCTTCCTTGCATGTGAATTGCAGATAAATGAACTATCTTGCTCATAAACCCTCCATTTTAACTAATGTCAAAAATGATTAACATTTCATGTACTGTTTACATTCACACATTTCATTTACATATGTTGCTGTTTATACTGTTTTCTTAAATTCATGTCTACTAAGATGAAGTAAAGAAATTGGAGTGGTTAGTTGTGCTGGTACTCATACAATATCATTTTGTTATTAATTTGTTTAATGACCCTACAAGGACTGAAGACATGAAAAAAATATACGGTCAGTGTCAAGATTCAAAATTATAAAAAGATGTTCTTCTGTGGAGGCAGAATGGACTGCGTAATTGCTATTATTTAAAAACATCTTCCAAAGATTGCTTTAAAAATATTTACTTTTTTATTAAGCAGGGCATTGAATTTTGCTTCTATTGGTTTGGAGTTGAACAATACATTCATTGCTTTTACACAGTAACTCAGTATCTTGAAATCTGTGCAGTCTGCAGAATTGAACAGTTAATTTAGGATATTTAAAAAAGAAAACATGTTTTTCTCTGTTTCTGCTAATATGCAATAGAAACCTGAGCAATAACAAGATTACAGATATCGAAGAAGGAGCATTTGATGGAGCCTCTGGTGTGAATGAATTGTTGCTCACTAGCAACCGCTTAGAAAATGTTCGACACAAAATGTTCAAAGGACTAGAAAGTCTCAAAACACTGTAAGTGTAATTATTTGGGTGGTTTTAGTCTTCTTTTCTGCCAGATATTTTTTAAAGTAATGTTCTGTCTGTCCTAAAGATTTTTATTTTGGAGGATTAGCTATGGATTATCCAAACATATATTAGTTTTTGTTCCTATTTTACAAAAAGTTGTCATACATTAGATTAATTCGTTAATTATTAATTATGCATAGAATGTAGCTGAAATTTTTCATTGTGGGTACTTAACTACAGAAACTCTATGAATCCCCTAAAATGATGAAGCGGTTGAGAATGGGTAAACATCCAACTGCAGAAACAGAAATGGGAATAATCATCTGCTTCAAAGTAACAGAATTTTGCACGGGAATTACACATTTTACGTAATGGAGTCTGATTCAGTTCAGCTCAACCATTACTGGGAATTTTGCTAGAGGAAAAAATTATTCTGGTGGATATTGAAATGTGGGAAATTATTCTCTCTGAAGTAATTTTAATGTCATTTCAACAGTGAAGGGAGGAGTAAAAGCACTATAGCTTGAACTCATTTCATTCTTTCCATGAAGGCGGTTTAGCTGTTTCCACTGAAAAAAAGATGTTTATACAACCCACAGTTTCTTGGCCTTCTTTAGAGAGCCTGTCCTTCTGATCAGCAGAGCAGAGCCAAGACTAAATGGTCTCTGGGGCTTCAGCTGCCCATAGATAGACATTAGGTATTTTTAATAAATCAGGCCTACAATTTCTAACTTTGCATTTAAAGCTGCTAAAATTGTTAGAAGCAGCTATTCTTAGACAAGAGCATGGGGGAAAAATATTCCATTTTTGATGGACCAATAGGAAAATGGCAGACTTCAAAGCTTGTATGTTTTACAGAAATATGAGATATTTTAGAATAGGTGTTTCTTGCTTAGTATTCTGAAATTTTTACTAAATCTTAGAGTCATGCTGAGGCGAAGTCAGGGTAACCTGCTTTCATTTAATTGAAACACTTCAGAATGTAGTAGAAATGGTTTCTAGAATTTGTCCTAAGAAAATTCAGATTGAAGGGGCCTCAGGAGGAGGTCTGCTGGTACAACCTTCTGGTCCATGTAAATAGCAGTTCTGGAGTCATTAGGCTTGGACACATGACGAGGGAGCTGCTGTGTATCTCTGATTTGGGGAATTTCAATCAATTTATTTTATTGTCAATTAACAAACTCATCAATACTGATTCTGGTATTGAAAGAAAAAAAAAAAAAAAAAAAACAACACAGATGCTTAGAGGAAACACCCTTTGCCTCTGCGAAACGTACCCACCCATCTTTCTGTTTTCCAGTCCCCTCCACACACACTGCACTCGGTCCCTTCGGTGAGGTGGCAGGCAGCACGGGGGTCACTGCGCTTGTGGCTCCTCCACCGGCAGCAGTCCCTTTGGAGTCATACCTCTTGGCCCTTGCTTGAGCCACCACTTCAGCTCCAGCCCCTGCTCGGCCTAAGCTAAGAAATGTTGATCCTTCCTTTCTCAGGATGCTGAGGAGCAATCGTGTGAGCTGTGTGGGAAATGACAGCTTCACGGGCCTGAGCTCAGTCCGCCTGCTCTCGCTGTATGACAACCAGATCACCACCGTGGCACCTGGCTCCTTTGATACGCTGCATTCGCTCTCTACGTTGTAAGTCATGTTTGTATTTTACCTCACCCAAGTTTAAACCCCTGCTTCTTTGGGGACATTCCTGTTAATGCTTTACTGGATAATTTCACCGCATGAGCTAACGTTAAGTGAAAAAAGAGTTCATAGAGGGATTTTTGAGAGAGTTTATTTTCTGGACCATCTTGGATGCATGAAGAATGTGTTTTCATGGTGCCCTTTGAGGCAGTGTTAGGCTGGTTTCCAGAAGCGCCTGAGAAGGCAGGAAAACCATGCTGCTTGCCCCCCTCTCCGAAGCCCACCTCTCTGAGCCAGGATAGAACGCCACGCTTTCGCTAGGCATTGCATGATCACAGCTGGTCGAATCACCATGTTGTCTGTCTTTCTGCACTGTGCCGTCCAATTACTATCTTAAATTTCCTCAGCCTACTGAGGATCTTAATTGATACATGTTTTATAATGAAACTTCAGTCTCATTTTCTATAAAAAGAAGCATCTCTTTTTTTATTTAAATATGATGTAATTTGAGGGAAGGGAAGATGGTGAATGTAGCTGCCACTCAGTTTACTGAAGAAAATGCTTTTTGTAGAGAGTATCATTCGGGAAAGTACTTAATCCTCTTTTCACATAAAAAGTGACACTTTGCACCAAGTGACTAATTTGTGCATATTAAGGATGACATGTTTATAAATAATGGAATTGTCGATAGGTTTGTACTGAAGTAAGGAGATGCCAAAAGTACTGAGACTTCTAGAAGTAAATTCATTTTTAGAACTGGCATCTAATCAACTTAGCTGTCACTTCAGATAGGAAACTTATTCTCTGGAGCAAATAAAAGATGGAAATCTTGAGATGACAAATTAATGGAATAGCTGTTGTCAGGTTAAAGCTAATAATGTAAAGTAATCAGCCTTCATCTCTATATGAAATTATTGCATTATCAGTACAGAGTGGCTTGACAACGAGTCAGGTCTTTGACAGTTTTAAATTATTTCTAAATGAGTTATATCAAGATTCACCACACAGAGCCTAATTTACAGCCTTCACCTATGGTTTGTGCATAGTATTGTTTGAAGAATGGTATTTAAGCTTAGCTTTTTGAAAATAGAAATAGAATACTTAGGATGAAAAAATGGTGTCATCCGAGTTAAACTTTCCTGTGGTTCTCAAGAAACCTCTTGGCGAATCCCTTCAACTGCAACTGCCATCTCGCTTGGCTTGGAGACTGGCTAAGGAAGAAACGCATTGTGACGGGGAACCCTCGCTGCCAAAAACCCTACTTCCTCAAAGAGATTCCCATCCAGGATGTGGCAATTCAGGATTTTACATGTGATGATGGTAAGAAAATTAATATTTGAACTTCTTATCATTTCAGCTTTCATATGTATATCTGCATGATTCCCATAGATCCCCAAATCTTATGCTTTAAACAACTTAATCTGCACTTCGTGCTCAGTTTCTATGTCAGTTTAAAAATCTTCCACCCATTTTTGGATGATCGTTGTATATATGCTTTCAAAGTTTTTCTTGCCTGTGTTCAGTACTGTAAATCCTAATTTAAAGATAACATAAATAAATTGATCAAATGTTGTAGTTCAGATTAATATTTTCAACTGCTGATGCTTGAATCAAGCATTCTTTCAGGTTACTTGATCAAATATCATGCCATTTTGGTTAGTTTGTGACTTCCTTAATGCTTAAAAAAAACTTGCTGCCATCTTGCATCTCTTTGATAAATGCTTCCACTTACTACATTAGTAGTTTGTCAATTTTCAAGGCTGTAACTTTTCTTTAAAGAGACTATTTATTTTTAATAATTTGCTAATTTTGAAAACATATATTTTGCTTTATTGTCTTCCACTTTAAGTTTTGTTCTTTCTTTAATGATCTTTTTTTTACATATAATAGCATTTTTACCTAGTAAAACAGCATTTTACTAAATGAAGCATCACTTGAAATGTAAATTATTAGAGTGATATTTTACAGAGGCGATGATGTTTTCCCTACCTAGAGATACCATCATGTAGAAATATCATATTTGCTTATAGGAATTATAGGTGGGATATTATTGCTAATACTGAAGTGATATTTGTATAGCAATCTTAGCACCTGTTTGTTTTTATTAACCAGGAAATGATGACAATAGCTGCTCTCCACTGTCCCGCTGTCCTGCAGAATGTACTTGTCTAGACACAGTAGTTCGCTGCAGCAACAAAGGCCTAAAAGCTTTGCCTAAAGGCATCCCAAAAGATGTAACTGAACTGTAAGTGGCACACTTTTTTCTCTTTTATGAAAATCAATGTCCCATTTATATTGTTGGGTTCAAGAATGAGTGGAGAAGAAAAGAATTGGATTCAGTGCATCAGTTGAAATTTATTATTATACCACTTTTATAAAGACTTGCACAGTATCTTGAGAAATTTGAGGTTAAGTTTGAATTAGAAATGCTCTGTAAGTCCCAAAACACTCTAAGAACTATCTGTCACTGAAAAGCTTTAAAAAAATATATATAAAATTGTAATCATTCTGAGAATTTATATGCCCATTGCTGAACCATCATATAACTGAACATGAATATCATGTTACAGTGGGTTAAATTAAGGACAGCAGTGAATCTGATTAATCTATGGTCACTGTTTAGAAAGGAATGAAGAAGTTGAATTACATGAAAAAGCAAAAAGAAAACACTTGCATGTGTTTGCATATATTCATACTAAACATGTTTTTGTGATATTTCAAAAAGACGGGTTTTGATAGAAAGTCTTGGTTTTCATATAGGCAGTCTTATACAATCTGGGACCGTTTATTAATCTCTTGATACACTTTTTATGTAACAAAAATGGTTAAGTTTGCATTTTATGAAAAGGCATAATTTGAATAATTTAAATACGCAGATTGACATTGATACAAAAAAGAGCTTGCTACCTCACATATTGTTTGAAGATAGTAACTGAAGAAGCTACCCATAAGAATAGATGAGTCAATTTTTATGCATTATGAAGGGGAAAATGTTAAGCTAAAAGTTGGGTTATTCATCTGTTTTGAATCATCAGATAAGTTACAGGAATGAAAGAAATACAAATTATTGACAAGAAAAAAAGTTGAGTTTGTGTTACATATGGCAAGTATTTAATATTAAATTGCTAATTCTTCATAATGACTGATTAATGTAGTGCTTTTTCAGAAGACATCATAGCTGTGTATCTTAAGTCACTAAAACAGTTTTATTGTTTGGTATTATATAGAAGATTCTGAAATGTCCACCACTAGTTTGGTGCTTAATATCATCCAAAAGGCTTTAGTCATTAATAAAAATAAATTACTAAGTACTCAAATTAGCACACAGCTATATAAACCTATAACTTACTTCATTAGGTTTTGGTGTTGGCTTTTTTTTCTCAAATAGATGGCTTAATTAAATATAGTCTGGCCTAATAAATACAATTTCACAATGTAAGGGCATCAATGCAATGTAAAATTAAGCAGCTAAAGAGAGAGACTTTTGGAATTACAAGTGGAACCCTGAGTGTGACTGAAAACTCATTTGTGTACAATTTTGTATGCTTTAATTAGCGTCTAAGCATGCAATTTAGCATATTTTTCAAAAGGATAATGGACGTGGTTTCTGTTAGCAGTTGCATACTGATTGATTCTTCTTGTTCATTAGCATGCATAACCCTTCCAAGACGTACTCTTCATGTGTTTTATAAAATATCTTAATAGTTGCTTCATTTGAACAAGGAGGAATTTTTATCATCCAAGTGGATACTTGTAGTACTTCAGTTCTAATGAAGCTAAAGCGATATATTTTGTGCGCATTTGTTCAGAATACTTACTCCTTCAAAAAGTTTAAATATTTTTGGTTTCTTTTTTAATAATTAAGTATATGAGCCCACACTCCATTCACCAACATTTATATAATCCCATTAACATAATGTAAGGATAAACCTTGTGAAGACACATATTTTGGATTTGGCAAGCAGCCATAAGGAAGGCATGGTCCAAGTGGAAGGGGGAAAAAAAAAAAAAAAGCGCTTTTTGATTAGATGTAGATAGTTATTTCGTTAAGACTATCTGTGTTTCAGCCTGTCCATTTAGTCAAGACAAAAGTTTCCAAAGATGATGCAACATTCTTAAAGACATTAAGCTCAAAATCAATTTAAGAATGTCTCTCTTAGAGGTTGCCCTTCATTCAAGTGTGTGCCAAGTATTTGTATGCCTAAAATATCTTATTTATATAGAGATAATGAGGGTATAGTTTTTACTCGGGTTCCAGGAGACAAAAGTAATACCACTATCAGCAAATCATTTGCCCCAGTTGAGAAATTAAAGACCTTTTCTTTCTGCCACTGTCTGCTCCATTTCAGAGAATCAGGTAAATTCAGCACTTCTTATAATCTCTAAACTACTTGCCCTGATTACATGAAGAGCCCCTTCACTTGCACTTTGTAATGACTGGCTGCACACCAGAAGCTTTTTAGGCAAGGCTTGTTACCTTCTTTGGCCTGTAACTCAGGTGTCGATACAGTTTGATGGCTCTGTACCTGTTAACTCTAAGGAAGAACAAGTCTGTTATTGAGAATTATGAGCATGGAAGAAGAGCAAGCAATGTAATACAGAAGCTGTAAAATTACAAAGAGGAAAAAAAATAAAATCTAACTTTTCTAGTGAAGGATAATTGATTACTGTCTTTAGTCCCTAACATGCTCCGTAGGAACAGGCTTGTCATATGTCCTGCCTGAAGTATACAGGGAGAAATTATGGAAGGTGACCCGAACTGCAGGCATGGCAAATGAATTTGCTGTTAGAGCAGGGACCAACCCTTGCTGTTTCTGCTGTAAAGGACTACCTCTGCAATGTCAGGGTCTGTTTCTATTTATGATAGCTCAAAATCCACACTTAATGTGACTTGCAGAAGTCAGATTTACTTTTCACCTGTAGGTGTGTGTGAAATAGAGGTGATAAAGACCTCATTTTGCAGAGTCTTTACAAAATCATAGAATGTACTCTGTAAGAGTTGGTTGTTATTACTGTAACATATTTGTAATATCTGATACAACAGCATTTGATTTTAAGCTACAGGTCCTTCTCAGTTCTGTCTCTAAAACCTAAAGTTTGTAAGCAAGATTTCTTATAAAACAGAAATAGTATATATTTATTTGTTATTAATTTTACTGTTGGATTCTAAGATTAGTGGATGAAGAAGCTACTGTTTTAATGAAAAACATAATGCTCTGTGGTTTATTTTTCTATTTCAGTTATTTGGTAAGCAAGATTTCTTATAAAACAGAAATAGTATGTATTTATTTGTTATTAATTTTACTGTTGGATTCTAAGATTAGTGGATGAAGAAGCTACTGTTTTAATGAAAAACATAATGCTCTGTGGTTTATTTTTCTATTTCAGTTATTTGGATGGAAACCAGTTTACCCTTGTTCCAAAAGAGCTTTCCAACTACAAGCATTTAACACTCATGTAAGTAGTTTTAGAGCAACATTCCCTATTGGAATGAAAAAAAAAATCCTGAAAAAAAAAAAAAACAAACCAAGAGAAACTCTACTCCATTATACCTGGTCTTAGTTATAAGAAAAAAAAAAACATAAAATGCATCATATCTTTTAGCAAATATAATACTGAACCATATTTTATAACAGGGGATATTTTATTCTACTTATCACACCCTACATATAATATACTCGATCACATTTTATAAACAGGGTATTTCATTCCAGTGACTACATCACAAAGTAAATAATCAGAACTTATATTCAACGGGAAGAGAGATGTAAGATCTTACAAAGCTAGGGTAATTAGGGTAAGGTGTTAGGGTAATACAGCATTTTGTTATGCAGCTCCATAAAGGCACTAGAATTATTTCATTTACAAAAGAAAAATTCCGTGATATGCTTCACTCTGTGGTATGCTTCACATAGGAATAGTACATGCAGCTGTTGTAACACCTGAATATAACCTCTTCTGTTTCTCCCACAATATGTGGTTTAATGATGCAAGAAGAGGGCTTGTCTAGAACACCTTACTCCCAGCTCTAGTGCTGACTCAGTCTGTGATTTGAGGCAAATCACTAGCTGCTCTAAAATTTATCACCTTGCCTCATGAACAATTTGAATATGATTTCTGTACCTTGTAAGAGTACAGTGAGAGAAACAGGAAGACCGTCAATGTAAATGGCTGTAATTCCATGGCCTTTGTTAGGGATATAAAAATTTATACCAGCTGAGGTTGAACTGTGTAACATTCTGAAAGCAGTTTGTGGTTTCATTATAATCAGAATAAAAAGTGGAGGGGAGTAACAAAATCCCGTAAATTTCTTTTTGACTTGGTTTAGAGCTTTGCTGCAAAAATGGAAAATGGTTTGGCATTCAAAATCAAGAACTTGATTTACTTTATTTATCTCATGCTAGACAAAAGTGGTCATGGTCACAAATTTAGAAAAAGCATGTTTCCAAACATTTTGTATTTTGCAAATAACATCAGGAAAAAACCCCTTGCAATATTTTCAAGTGTTTACAGCTTAGAACCTATAGGAAACTTATGTGGATTCTTAGGGAAGTTATACAAGATCTAACTTGCAACACACAGGAAATACAACCTTTGAAACCTCAGTACAAGAAGCAAGCATATAGATTGGACTGCGTGCAGTAGCAGTATCAGTGAAGACTGGATATATGTCTAGAGATTACGTTAATTAGTGGCATAGTGACAAATCTTCCATCACAGAGATTGTGTACTCATGGTCTATTTTTGACAAACACAGACAGAAATTGTATAACTTTACCTCCTAATTAGAAAATACACACAAACAATTTAGCAGACAAATGTAATACAATAAATTATAGATTAACAGTAAATAATAAGCAAATAAGAGGAATATTAACAGTCTCTATTTATCAGACCTGTGGGGCACATTATTGTAATCTCTTCTGAATATATCCTCATATTACTATGAAGTTGAGAATGTTCCTCAGCTGTGTTGGGAAAACCAAAACACTATTCATAGTTCCTCTGTGGCCAAACAAGAAATAACATATGAGTGTTCTGAGTTCCAGATTAACAAGGAAAATTGTTTCTTTCTAACTTTTTCTTTCTCTTTTGAATAGATTGCTCTGTTATACTTGTCTAGTATGTTTATTATTATGAGTCAGTTGTCTTACATGCTTTAAGGAAATTTCAAGGAGGGAAGTATGTATACTGTATAGCTATTCAACAGCACTCAAGTAAAAATATCAAGGTCCCCTCAGAAACACATGCTGTATTTCTTCTCAAAGTTCTGTAAACAATAGTGAAATAGTCAACATAAAATGAAAACTAAAGTACAATATGAGAATAAAGAATAAGCAGTATTTACATTTAATACAGCTTCTTCAAAGCTTCTTTGAAGCTACTATCTTTGAAGCTACCAGCATACCACTCCAGCTTCCATCATACTTATACTTAAGATTTTATTCATTAGAATATTGAACAACAAGAAAGATGTTAAGGCTTTCTCTATAAATCTTAGATAGTGTTCTTTTTAATAATAGCTCTAGGCTTTGATGTCTTCAGCATGTAAGTGTTAAGTAGAGTATTAGATGATATTTACTCAGATGTCATTAGGGACGTGACTAGAATGAATTCCACTCTAAAATATCACTTCTGTTTCTATATTTGGATTCATGCAGGATTGCATTATTAACTCAGTAGCATGATGGACATTGCTGTTGTATAAGAATGCATTGTACTGCTTTTTCATCTGTGTTGAAATGAAAATGCTTTTCATTGATCAAGCTAAACACTTGCTGGGCTTGTATATGGCATGTGAAAATAAAAATATGTGCTGCTTTAAATATTGATACCAATGATGATACTACTTCTACTAATAAAAATAACATGTCTGTCAGTTTAACTTACAGTGTTTCGGGACTGGGGCAGTCATTTTAAGGTCTGAATTTCTGAATTTATTTTTTATAGAGATTTAAGTAACAACAGAATCAGCACTCTTTCTAATCAGAGCTTCAGCAACATGACTCAGCTGCTCACCTTGTAAGTTTAAACATGTAACAGTGACTCTTTGGAAGCATTACAGTGTTTTGTTTTGTTTTGTTTTCTTGGAAAGTAAGGACATTTTATTGATATCAAAGCTTGCTCGTTGTGGAGGCTGTAGAATAACTTGTTTCCTAACTAGCTATGTGTGCAAAAGCTGATTTTGATCATTCTCTGAATTGTTTAGTGAATGGCTGATATATGTGCTGACAGTATTTTATATATTTTCAGAATTCTTAGTTACAACCGCCTGAGGTGTATCCCTGCACGGACTTTTGATGGGTTGAAATCACTTAGGTTGTTGTAAGTATTATTTTTTAACCATTGCTGTTTTCCAGAATTTTCATTTGTGTAGAGCAGATAGCAAATCTGTAGGAAGTTACTAGATTTTAAAACCTATCAAGTATTTGAGAAGTGATAATTACGTGGCCCTCAAAAATCTGTGTGGCTTCATTCTGGGGAAGTATAGTCTCAAAATGCTGCACAAGTAGTTATGTAATCCTGGACAACATTGTATATACAGACATACACTTTTTAATTTTCTGCTTTTTAATCTTTGCTGTATTTCTTTTTTGTGTTATGTTTTTCCTTGTTATAAGTATTAAAGTCTAACAAAAATACCATATGCATAAGTTCCTCAGTATATATGAGGAGGTTTTGCAGTTGAATTTTGAATATTTTTGTTCCAACAATAAATTTCTTTCTTTCTTGTTTCATTTAATATGGGAATATTTCCAAAACCATTACATCATGGTTAACTATTGAAAATCAATAAAATTACTTTTTGGTTCCAAGAAAATTTTCCTTTTTACCACTAGGAAAAACATGGTTGAAGGGGCCCAAAAAGGGACAGAGGAAAATAAAGAACAGTCAGTCTAGTTTGCAACTTCCATTTGTAATTAAGGAAAAAAAATGCAAAAATTCTTTCTTAGAAGTCCCCAGCAGAATATGTAATTTTTGCCTCCATTTGGATAGTTTATAACCAATTAATAGCTTAGTTGGATTAGACGTCTCAAGCATGACATTATTTAAGTGTGCTCACATAACTTTAATTATTTTATATAAATATGGATAATTTCAAGAACCATAATTCTGTATGTTTTAGATATACATGTATCTGAATGAATTTATAGAAAAGGAGAGAGAATTTTGTTCAGGTTTGCTACAGGGTAGATAACACTAGTCTTGGTGTTGATGCTTAATAAGGTCTTTGGTTCTTTAACTTCACTATCAAATTAGGGCAACATCCCTAATACTTACAATAACAAACATTCAATGCCTGTATTTTCCATGAATCCGAGAAAGATTGCAAAAAGAAGTATGAACATAATTAATGGAAATTTCAAGGAATTTCTGAAAAAATCAGAAGTAATAACTCTTCTTTAATTCGTATATCCAATCAGTACTTTGCAGAGGTGTTCCTACTTTTACAGACCTTTATTATTTCAATTTTTAAAGAATCATATTATTATAATGTATTATGAAAATTCAGAATTAAAAAACTCAAATTACAAATTACAAGTAGGCTGCCAATTGGAGCTTTAAAAAAAAAAAAAAAAAAAACAAAACAAAAAAAAAAAAGCAAACAACAGTAGGAAACACTGAGGAACTGGAACAAAAAGAAAGTGAAAAGCTGAAAAGTGTTTACAGAAGATTAAATTCAAAAGTTAACCTGCTGATTTTTATGCATATATATTATTCTGTTTATTTTATTTTTAAGGTCTTTACATGGTAATGATATTTCTGTTGTTCCTGAAGGAGCTTTTAATGATCTCTCAGCATTGTCACACCTGTGAGTATTCAGATGATATTTTTTATGTGACGTTTAGCAAATTTCATATAGTTGAACAAAGACAAAATGCAAAAGCCTGCTCTGGAACAAGCTCATGCATCTGTAAAGGCTGGGGACTGGCCAGAGAGCTGTCAGCTCATCAGAAATATCCTGGACCTCATGGTGGGCAGCAAATTGAACCTGTCTGCCATGTGCCCTTACAGCAGTGAAGTCTAAAGAAGCTCTGGGCTGAATTAGAAAGTGAACAGCAGCCAGGTGATTGAGGACAGTGGTCATTCCCTTCTGCTTGGCCCTCCTAAGGTCACATCTGGAATATGTGTTCAGTTTCTCCAGTAGAAATCAGATGTGTATGAACGGGAGCAAATCCAGGATAGAGTCAAGCAAGGTGGGGTGGTGGCTGGATCGTATGAGCTGTGAGGAGAGGCTAAAGGAATTGAGCTTATTTAACTTGGAGAAAGAGATGCCAAGAAGGCACCTAATAATCTTTAAGGCTCCAAGGGGATTGCAACAATGATGGAGACAGGTTTTTCTCAGAGGTACACAGTGAAGAATAAGAGTCAATAGTCACAAGCTGCAACAAGGGAAGTTTGAATTAACATAATGAAAAACTCTTCACTGTGAGGGTGGTTCAGCTTTGGAACAAGTTGCCCAAAGAAGCGGAAGAATTTCCATCCCTGGAGATTTTCAGAGGTCAGCTGGACACAACCCTGAGCAACCCTGCTCTGGCTTTGAAGTGAGCCCTGCTTTGTGCAGGAGGTGAGACTAGATGACCACCAGAGTGCCCTAAATTATTTTATAATTCTGTGTCAATGTCTGTAAAGTTGACATTAAATACATGGCATCATCTGATTTCAGAACATAATTTCAGGTAATGATTTTCCTGGTTTTAATTTTCAGTGGGAACCTAGATTAGAACAAGTTACCTATCTGTAAACCTCGTTGTGTTTATGGATAGTTATTAAATCTTTCCTTTGATTGAGGAGTAAATTGACTACTGCCTTTAGATCTATCTAGTTTTTATGTTTCTGAACAGCTGCAGTTGTTAAAACTTAATTCTGTTTCTAGTTCAGTATCGGACATTTATATTTAATTTGCCATTTCTCAGAAATTTGTTGATACTGATTAAGCTTTAAATCATTGATAATTCATTCAAATACACATAGATTTGATTGTTGTTGCTGTTATTATTTTCTTAGTGGCTACCAGTTATCCTTGCTAACATTCAGATTTTATCAGAGCAATTGTATCATCTCAGTGCAGGCTGACATTCACTCTTGCAAATTGGAAAAATTGCAAAGTGGACAAATTCTAAGTGTTTCTGCTTGAATGGGAAGATTCCTATCACTAGGTCTGATTTTTGTTACTGGTCTGACTTAAGCCTGACTGCACAAGTATATATATTTTCTTGTGTTCACGTGGAAGTATGTAGCAATAATTAAGAGAGGGCTTCCTGCCCAGTGTGGCAGAAAAGAGTGTTTCAGCAGTGGTAGTTTCTACCACCTTTGCTTGCCAGAGCTTTTCTTGTATCTCTAGAAGACCCACTGATCCAGGATTGTGCAACATTCTGAAAAAAAGTACTGAAACATCTGGAGAATGAGGATGTTCTACCACTGCCATCTGACAGTGTGTGCATATGTCAAGATTATCTGTTGAAAGTTACATGATTATTGTATTTCTTAAAGGGAATATGAGTACATCTTTATAGAATAGCACAGTGCTTCTATCATCCAAATTAGCTACACAACATACCATTGTTCTCATACTTTTTAGAGTTTCTAGCAGAGATACTTAAAAAGCCCTTATAGAAATTAATTCTGAAAATATCTAGCTAAATTACTTTTAATTAAAAAAATCAGATTTATTTAAAGAAATGGATTTGCTTCCATAACAAGGCAGTTCTTAAGGTTCTTAAACTATTTAATGTAGTTTTATTTACTTATGCAGCAAAGACCACTTACAGAATTCTGCACATAGTTGTGAGCTCAGTGGGAGAGCTCCAAAGAGGAAATAATTAAATCAAATTTGGAAGCTTAAAAACAGATGGTTTGTACCAGCCTGGGAGCCATAAACTGAAAAGGAAAAATATCAGGGTGGAACTCTCTGGGGTTGCCTTGGCTGCTTTGGAAGAAATATTTTATTCTTGCTAACTTAATTTCCCAGTATCGGTTTCATTGTGCTGATGCAGCTGATCTTGGCCATTATATACCAATGGTGAAACAGAGCTAGTTAGTATTAGCTCTCCAATGTTCACACGTAATGCAGCTAAGAATAGCTAGGTTTCTGGACCAAGTTGACTGCTAAAAGTATCACTTCTTGATTTAGAACCCAAATCCAGACACTTCATGTTCTTACAGTCAATTTAGTGGAGGGGGAGGGTAGGTTTGTGGTTCAAAGGGGTTTTTGCCAACCTGTGTTCTAGCTTCTCTTTTTAAAAGCAGCTGTTTAAAATTTTATTGCTTTTTTGTTTGTCTGTTTTCCATAGGGCTATTGGAGCAAATCCTCTTTATTGTGATTGTAACATGCAGTGGCTATCTGACTGGGTAAAATCAGAATACAAAGAACCTGGTATTGCACGTTGTGCTGGTCCTGGAGAAATGGCAGATAAACTTCTTCTCACAACTCCTTCTAAAAAATTTACTTGCCAAGGTACTGTTGTTGTTTTTTCCCTTTAAAGTGTCAATTTTGAATTTTTACATATAGTTGAGCTGTCAAATAAGAGTCGTGTGTGTTCTAAATACATTTAATATAGTATCTTCACTCAGACTTATCATCGTTCCTCCTCATACTTAGGGATGTTAGCCATTGGTACCATTCAGGAACTGTATTTATTTTAATGACTTCAATACCTATTTCTTTTCAAATAGATTGAGAAAAAAAGTCTTTGGACTTGCAGTACAGTATTCCTCAGTACATGGATGTGCATAGATACTTGGTACTGGCAGTCATGAACTACAGTTTGAACATCTACACTTCCCTTAGCCAAAAAATATCCTTCCCTTCAGACTGTTCACAGTAAAAACTGTAAATACATCCATAATCCTTGCAGTCTGCAATTAATGGCATCGATATTTCCAGAATTTCTAATATTCTGATATTTCAGAAGAAAGCATTAAAAAACAAACAAACAAACAAACAAAAAAAAAACAAGCATAGAAAAAGGGATGTGATTACCTTTATAGAGGTGTCATTCTGAAATGTTATGTGGGGAAGTTTCTTAGGGTTTGAACCAAGAGTGTTTTTCTCCATGTTGGTACCAATGTTGCTGGCATTTATATCACAACTTATGTTATTGTTTGTAGATTCCTAGGTTCTTTTTCTGAATCTTTCTGAATCTGAAACTTTGGTTAAAAAAGTACATTTTTTTATTCACATGGAGAGAGAACTTGGTTTGGTTTACTGTTTAATCTTCCTCTATTCCATCCATTTCTCCCTTCTTAAATATTTTGAAAACATAGGAAACTTCTGCTGTAGCTTAATTTTTCATGGTCGTGATTTAGAAACACTGAAATCCCCAACTGAAAAAACAAAAACAAAAGCAAAAATACAACAAAATTTATGTGTGCTTATACTTGTTACTAGGCTTATAGTTATTTCTGAGGCATCAGCTAAATATGATCTTAATTCTTGTAGAAGTAATTTATTTTCATAGTCTAGGTAATCTTCAAGCTATTTTGACTTATTCATCTGTTAATGTGTCTTCAAAGGTGAGCTCAATCCCTTTGTAATTTCTTCCTTAAAAAAGCAATGGGACATTGTTGGACTTTGTCTTATCCAAAGTTTTTCTTTACTGTATGATCATCCTATTTAGTCTTCTCTCCTTAAGCTTTCTGTCAAAAAACATGTTTTTTAAACAAAAACCACTGGAACCTATTTTGTTGCTTGTGATGCCAATGAATTGTCTCTCCCTCTAAATCCTTCTTGCAACTTTTCAACAGTACATCTCCGAGGTCATGCCAGTATTCATTGCACATGACACTCATCTGTTGCAAAATCTCTTAGTCTGATTTTAGATAGGACATTTGCTGGCCAATCTGATAGTTTACTCTGCAAGCATCACTGAATATTATTGCAGATATGCTCTTATTACACACTGTTGTGTGTAATATCAAATACGTAAAAGAATATTTGCATGGACATAAAGGACCTGTTTGGTTATTTTCTGGCTCTGTCAGTTTTAAAAACTGTATGACCCCTGCCTACAATCATTGTTATGTTTCTGTCAGACAATCCAGAAAGTATATCTTACTCCCTCTTGCCCATCAGAAAATATCCTTTATATTATTATGCAGGGTAAGAACTGTATTTGTTTCACTTCCAAGAGTGGAGATCTGGTATTATGGATACCTTTGAGAGAAAATAATTTTCCTGCCACTGTCCTATGAAGATGCTCATAATTACAGATTGCAAATCAGCAGCTTTTCAATGACATGATGGCCCTGTAAGACATTATGTGTCTGTTACTCAAAGATAAGTAATTTTATCTTTTGCTTAAAAATGAAGTGCTGAATAGAAAATAGGAAGATGCTATATTCCTACTAGATCCAAAATTTTAGGCTATAAGTGAGAGGACTGTTTTTGGAATATCTGTTGATGGTCTGCTGTTGTATATATATTTACAGGAAATAATTCCCTCTTATCAGTATCTCTGGATTCAATTCAGTGAAATGGGTGCTTTAATTTTACTTACAGAATGAATAGTTCCCAGTGAAAATGAGCATTTTAAAATGAAATCCCATCTCAGTTGTAAAGCTCCATAAAGTCACCGTACCTTACTCTAATTTTATGAATTCTTTTACTCCAGGAATCATCCCTTAGTATTTTCTTCTTTCAGTTGTTTTTCTACATTTATGGGTGGTTTTCTTTTTTTATGTGGCCTCTAACAGACTCTCAATCTTTTACTTTTACCCCTTTACCATTCATGCCCTGCTTCTAGAGATTCCAGGGCCTTGTGGTTTTCTGATACCAGGTAAGGTTATACGTAGATCTGGAGTGGGTGATCTGATTAAGAACGGACCCTCTGACCTTCCTTTTGTGTACCTCAAGCAGACTTCTTTCCTAAGACACGCATGTTCACTGTGTGTTTTCCCCTTTGATGAATTTACAGCTGACTCTTTGCGATATATCATTTAACATATTGTATGAACAGTTTTGTTATTTTAAAAGCCTGGGTTTGAGGTCTGAAAAACATCTAACAGCAATGATTAGTTCTACTGAATTGTAGTAAAAACAGTGATTTCATTAGCAGCTTTAGTATAAGTGAATCAGTGTAGATTATTGATTTTGAGGACATATGCAAGAGAGAATAGGAGTCATAAAATGTCAGAGCTCATTTTTTCTTGCAGCAGGTTTCATTAGAAGCTGGTATTGAGAGGTTTTCTGTCATGTTTTTCTTCAAAAATGTTAGATTGCCACATGTGTGTGTGTCAACAAAATACAGTTAGTTTTTCACTTTTTACAAAAGAATACTGATTATTTTTTTAATTTATGCTAAGGCTTTTTTTTCCAGTTAGGGCTTATTCAAAAACATATATGTCTACAATATGAAAAACTAAACAATAAGTTATGAACTCAATTCTTTTTCATATACAAGTCTTTTAACACATGCAAGCAGAAGAGGAAAGGAAATAGTATAGTGCAAATAAAAATAGGTTCCAGAACTGCCTTTCCATTAGACTTCAGTAAAAATTTCTGAAACATTTCAATTTTTTGAACTTACAACTGAAGAATGATAAATCAAAATGTTAATTTTTATTGGATACTACATATATAATAGTTTGAAATAAAAGCTTAGAGCACAAATCAGATACAGTGTTTGCTATCTTGTTGAAACTTGGGTTCCCATTTTCTGGCTCTGTTTTCGAAGTGAAATTTAGATTGCTAATCCATTTGGGAAAATAACCTTAGTTACTGAATGTTTTTTAATTCTTGCCAAATCATTAGCATTTTATTGCATGAGAAGTAGAAAAGAGGATATGATGTTCAGAATAAACAGCTGAGGCAAGGAAGCATAGACTTCCATGCTACAGCACAGTGTTACAATGATTTTTTTTTAAGTCTCTGTCTCTTGCACCTTATTTTTTTCACAGAACATCTTAATATACTCTAGCAATGATCAGCAGTAGTCTAGAGTACATAGGCAGGACTTTCTAGACATTAATTCTATGGTGTTTTTTTCAACTGTTCTATTTCTGCTGTTTGCTGGTCTAGAAGAACCTTTAATCAGATATAGATTTCCCTTTCAAAATAAGGTAATAAAGAAGAATAGGCAATGATCCATGTAGATTGTGGCTTTGGCAATAAGCATTTTATCACAGTTTACCATATTCATCCCTTTGGATTTGCTTTCAAGCTGTGACACGGAAGGATATCGGCAACTGCAGATTTAAAAAAGAAAAAAAAGTAAAAAAAACAGTCAACCTCTCCTTGTCTAATACCCCCTACTGAATCCTTATCATCACATGGCTTCTTTGCATGACAGCTCCTTTACAATGTCTTATCTGAGATTAATTTTGCAAAGAACAATAAGTAAAGAAAATTAAGAAATCTAAGTTTAAAAAATCCCCAACATCCCTTATCTTGGTAAGAATGCCCTGTTAACTTAGAAAACTTTGACATCTGGCTCATTTTGAGTAAAACCTCTTATGGACCAATCAGGCTATTCCACCAGTAGGTCTCAGGAGTTTTCCTGTTGTGTCTGGTTAGAATAAATCACTGGTTATTCCTTAAAATTTACGAATCATCTGTGGATAACTGATTTTTTTTTTTTCATAGCTGAAATCTGAAATCAAGCTGGAGGCAGTAATGTCATCAAGCAGTAGAACTGGAAATAATATAGCATGTATGCTTATTCTCTTAATAGCATTTCTCCAAGTCATCTGGTTTCTCTTATTCAAACTTTTTTCTATCACAAAATTTCTGAAAATAAATCATTATTTATACACAAGTGACTTCTAATTTTTAACAAATAACCAGTGATTTCTTTAGTTGTTTGTCAAAACCAAAAATTTTAAAATTGAAGGTTCCTAACTTGAAAATTCGCCATGAAAAAGCTGTATTAAAATTGTAAAACAACAGAAAAAAAAAATATCTAAAAAATATTTATATAATAGGGATAAGAATTATGTAGGCCAAAACTCTAAGTCTGGCTTCTGAAATTTAGGATTTTCTCAATATTAATTTCTGAATTCTTTCTTTATAATCATTACAAGAAGAAACTAGACTGCAAGCATGTATTGCAGCCCTCATTTACACATAGATTCATGGTACAGTTTGCATTATATGTGGGCCCAGCTAATGCTGTAATTCACAGAACTGTGACTGACTCCATAAGGGAGCAAGGCACAATATAGAGCTATTTACAGGGAGATAGCTCGGGCAATTCAATTTACATTACAGTTCACAGATGTTCAACCAATTTACAGGTAATTTTACAGCTTTCTTTTGCCATGTCTGTGATCCTGCAGATAAAAAATAAATTAGAACAAAATTACATTAAAAATAGCATTCTCAGTAACACTATCAAGGGAAGGATTGCAATTGTGATAGCCCTTTTCCTCATAGGCACTTTTTACCCCCTAAAGAGACAAAATCTGGAATTTTATTTTGCATTTTCTTAATACAAAAGGAAGGTAATTATGGATCAGAACAGTACAGATTTCAGAGAATGGGGATATGGGAATCACTTTGGAGTCAGCTTCTTTTTTTTTTTTTAAAAGGTGATGATTAAACCAAAAATCAAAAAAATCCAACACCAAACTTCCTTGGTCATGTCAAAAGAATTAAAGACATTTAATTCATATAGAAACATCACAAAGTCTAAAATACAAATTTAATTTTATAATTTAAAGGAATGTGGCAGATATATCCTGTCAAATATAAATTAATAGTTGTTTGTTTCTGACTATCCAATTTGTATTTTTAAGGGCCTGTGGATGTTAATATTCTTGCTAAATGTAACCCCTGTTTATCAAATCCATGTAAAAATGATGGAACTTGCAACAATGATCCAGTTGACTTCTATAGATGTACTTGCCCATATGGTTTCAAGGTAGGTCCTGAATGAAGAGGAAGAAGCCTACTGAAATGAAAGCTTCTTCTTAACAACCTTGAAGTTTTATTTGGCTTGCTTCCGCTAGTGTCTGTGTCTTGTTCTTAAATTTTAACTGTTGTTCCTTGCATAGGGTCAAGACTGTGATATTCCCATTCATTCTTGCATTAGTAACCCATGCCACCATGGTGGAACTTGTCACTTGAAAGAAGGAGAAAAGGATGGTTTCTGGTAGGTTGTTTTTAATTGTAATAACAGGATGGAAAACTACTGAGTTTTACATGCTGAAATTATTTTTTTGTTAATCATCGGGTTCTCTGTGTTTGCTAGTAAGTGCACCACAAAGGCAGATTTTCAGTGCTTCTGAAGTTTTCAGAACATGTTGCCATCCTTGGAAAGCTTATAAAGCTTTGCAACTGTTAAAAACAATAACAAATGATTGTGATTAGTTGAGGCATATCAGGTCAAGACAACATAGTATTGACTCCATTATGCTAATTAATAGCTAGCTAGATCCCTGCTGAAAAAATCTCACAATTCATCTGTTGTCATGTGTATTACTTCAACAGACAGCATGTAAATGATAAAATGTAAATCCCAGTGAAACAGAAAATTAATGATTCATTTGAATCTCACTATGCCATCAGATAAACATGCTGTGAGCATTTTTAATCTTGAGTTATTTAATCACACAGTACAATTACTCCAGATGTACTTCATGAATTATGAAATAAAGTTCTTTAGCATTCTTATGTGAAATTATTAGTAATTTAATAATCTACACCTCAAGCTTGTTAGAAGTGACACTTCAAAAAGATACAGTTCATTATCTTGCAATTCATTATGATATTATTCTTAATTTTTAATCCAAATTATGCTCAAAGAATAAATGGTTTTCTATTAAAAATTAAGCTTATACATCTTAATACTATGCCTCTAGAATTTAAAGTGACATAGTCATGTCTCAGAAATTGACCTTTTTCATTTATTTGTTTAAACACTACATATTTTGAAAATCAAAGTAATCTTATAAGGAAAGCTGCAGAAATTCTAGATGGTGTATATTAGATGAAAATCTATGTATAGTCATGTTTGAGTGATGTTTTACATTTACTATCTATTTTGATGTATTTGTTTTGTATAAACATACTTAAGAGCAAAAAAAATATTACTGCTTTGAAGAGTTCATACAGGCTTTGGTTTTATATATTGATGCTGTTGTACATGGAATGTTAAACAGAGCTTTATTATTGGTACATGTAACTGAATGATAATGGAATACTACTATTATATACTAATCCCTGATTCCACAGTCTCTTCCATGTGTTTAAAAAACAATGAATCACTTTTCATAGGAAATATAATCTAATCTTATGATATAAAGGTAGCACAATTTTCAAAAGGAATTTTCAGTAATTTCATTTAAGAGGCCCCTTGAACTAAAGATTAAGGCAAGAATTTAGAAGCCTTTTTTCTGTAATTTAAAATATGAAAAATATTTTGGTAACATTTCTTACATTTTTTTTTACATTATATCAACCATATTCCTTTATGGGATAGTGGTTAAGAATTATTGTACCTATTAATTACAGAACATCTTTTCTGGTCTCTCCAGCTAAAATGTCCACGTGCTTAGTTTTGTTTTCTGTATTACAGGTGCACTTGTGCAGATGGATTTGAAGGTGAAAACTGTGAAGTAAATGTGGATGACTGTGAAGACAATGACTGTGAAAATAATTCTACTTGCGTGGATGGAATTAATAACTATACTTGCCTTTGTCCACCTGAATATACAGGTAGGAGTATAAGAGAAAGTACAGGTAATTCAAGAATTTCTAGCAGAGCAGTAATATTTTTCAGTTTGTAGGTGAGTTAGTAGTTACGCTGCAGTGGACTTAAAGACAGGTTTCCCTCCTTATTTTTCTCCTATATGGTTTGTAGTCAAAAGTAGACTTAATGCCCACTAATTAATTTGTTAGTTTTGAAATTACATGTTGATATTTCAAAGATCATTCAAAATGTGTCCCTCCCTACTGTTTACCTAACCCAGACACCCCAATAAAGAACCTCTGTAGCTGTTTCTGCTTTTATCCTGTGAACCTCATGTTACTAACAGGGAAGAAAAGGATCTGTCTCTGCCAGTAAGGAACTGAATTTGGCACCCTTGGATGCTGTGCTGTCCTGTCCAATGTTAGAAACTTTTATGCAGTGTGATGCTTTCTGTTCTAGCACAAAAGGAATCATTAGAGAGTGTCTAATTATTTGTTCCTATTAGTTGGCAGCCAGGCCAAAGCATTCGCCTCTGTTTCAGACAGAGGGTCTCCTGCTTGCTGTCATTATCTCTGAGAATGGAGAGCAGTTAGAACAGCAACACTGGAGAACAAGAAGTTTACATTGATCTGTTTTATAGTTCTTCTAACTAGACAGTTCTATTTTCTGTCAGCTAATTGACTGCTAGGAGAACACAGAGCTTAAATTCACAAGAACATGATTTGAAATGCATAAAAACGATACACAAAACCCACCATAACTTGGGAATTAACTCACCTCAGTCATCCTGCAACTTTACTGCAATCAACCTATTAATCGATCAAATTTGAGCTCTGAAAGACTGGGAGGAGAGGTGAACTCCTGAATTAATTTCATTTACTAAAAACACAGCTAACTCCTTCTTAATCCAAGGTACTTCCATCATTAGTTCTACAACCAATTGGGTTGCTCAAATGTTTTAGGGTATTCAAATTTAAAGACAATATTTAAATCTTGGAAACCCATGGTGAGTGAAGATGATGGAACACAACTGTAAGAAATAAAACTTCATAATGTACTCATCCAGTACTTATGCTGGGTAAATGCTTGGTAGAAATTTCGTTATACAGAATACCTACAGCATATACAATACCTATAGCAATACAGGTTGAAAGTGTAAGTAGCCAGAGTAAGGTGTTTAATAATAAGTGGATGGTCCACATCTCAAAGAACAGACATAATCTTTGGCTGAGAGAACATACTATTTTGCCAAGTACTCATACCTTAGTATCTAAAAGCCACTGACAGCTCAGGCCTTAGAAACAAATAACAGGTAACAGCATCAATAAGTAGAGGCAGGTGTTTGCTATTTCTCCTATAACTAATGTTTCATGTATATGTGAGTCAAGCTTCAGCTTGCTTGGGTTCAGCTACCATCTCCTTTGAAATGGGATCAGATATTCTACTGTATAGGCTGGAAGAAAGCAAACCAAAGTCACATCAGCCCAGTATTCCTGTTCAGTGGCTTCATATAACTATTAGATAGTACACAATTCATTCACAAGTGCATTCCTCCTCTGCAGCTTTGCAGGTGTTTTTACCTGTGTTGTTCATGTCTTAATTTTTGACATTGCTCTAGGTGCACTTAACTGCTAGAGTCAGTAGCTTGCTGTATTTACAGTATGCCAAGAGAAGGGCTGTTTTTTATTAAATATCCACAGAGTGGATAGAAAGGCTTGTTTATATGTGCTGGCCTAAAATGCTGATTAAGTGCACCTGTTGCATTTCTGTAATATTGTAATTGCAATGTACATTTTACATTTACAATTTAAACAGTAATTGTAGCATTTCTCTATACATCTGTATGGTGAGAACAAAAAGGAGAACATAAACATTGGTAACATTTTTGATGTTTGTATTGCAGTTGTGCTTCTTTAGTCAAAATACAATAAAATGTATTTTTTAATTGGATTCATAATTATGCATAATTCTAAAAGGAAAATACTGTGAGTTTACATGGCATTTTTATTTGCTAAATGTAACTCAGAAAAAGAGATTTGCTTTTACAGATGCAATGCCTACTCATAATCAATATGAAGTCAATAGGTCATGTGAGGAGGTGAGAATACTCTCACCAGCTCTAAAATAAATCAAAACAATCTACTCATAATCAGTAAGTTTAGCTGCTCTGTTTTTTAAAAAATGGAGAGGATTTGCACATCTCATCAGATTTTTTCGACACTTTACCAAAACCAAACACATGTATTTTTTAAAACATACAACACCAGAGCCTCAACTCATTTTATTGATAATTTTAGCAAATACAGTACAGAATTCTACAATATACTATCTATCTTACAAGGCATCTGAGGATAGGACACAATAAGTGAATTCCTAAGTAATTTTTGAGATTCATTCTAAGGAGAAAATATAAAACATTGAGCTAGTCAAGGGGTCTTCACGTCCATCATCCTTGATCTTGTATAATAATTAAATGACCTTCAGTGTTAAGAATTAGACTGACAGTAGTCTGGACACATCAGGATATAGAAATGGTTGTGTTCAGAATATAAAGTAATCTTACAGTTACCTCAAGCATGTATGAGGTACCAAATTATTTACAGGATTTTTTTTTTCCTCTGGCCTACAGCCTGATTGGAAAGATAAATAACAGAATCCCTGTCCACTATGGATACAGTGATTTTCATGAGGAACTTTGTAAACATTTGGATTTTGGTATCTGTTCATACAGGTTAAAATCAGATCTGCATACTGCTTATGTGTTTTCTTATGAGAGGTATTTTTCACTAAATGAACTCATGTATTAGTTGGGCAAAAGTAGGTTAACAGTCAGGAAAACAAGGCTATCTATTCAGTAGGTTAAAAAATTTTTAAATTCAGAGATACTTATCTCTAGCTCAGAAAGTCTGATCTGTAAGTTGCTGGAGACTTGGACAGTATACATACCAGGAATATACCACTGTAGGCTTGTCCTGTTCCTTTTTTAATTCTGTTGGTAATACTTCGAATTGTCTGTGTTCAAGATGTCACGGCATATATGTACTGAATGTGGAAGTGCACCAGCCCAGAATATTTTTCAGGGTGAATGGTTATCTGCAAATATGCTTTACATTTCATTAGCACGGTATAAGGAAGAAGTCAAATGAAACCTGCTGGTATGAAATGTAAATCATCATTCTTTAAAGTTCTATTTTCATGTGGAAGGCTTGTTAGAATCTCAAATTAACTCCGAAAATACATACAAAAACTTTTAAAAATGTTGTAAAGAATGTTGCAGTGCAAAACAAAAGTCACTTTTTTGACTTTTCTAACAATCCCTTGAAAACTGACACTTATCAAGTACATAGTGTTGATTTAAAAACAAATAATTGCAAAAGCTTATTATGTCATTGCTTGAGAATCAGGAATCCATTATTCTCTGCCTTAGTTAAGTTTTACAATTACCTCCACGGTTACAGGTGGAAAGACAAAGAATGGTATTTGCACTATACTATGAGCTTTCTTAAGATTACAGACTGTAACTGTGAAACAACAGCAAGCACATGGAATCAGCGGACACTCAGGGTGTCTGATGAAACCTTGAAAAATAACACATTTAAAATACCTCACTATGTCCTGCACTCTTTAACCTCACTATTCTCTTAACATTATCATCTCCTTTATTTTAACCTCAGTCTAGTAAACTTCAGGTCATTTTATGTACATTCTATAGATACAGATGATCATTTCTCTTGCTCATTATCATCAGTCATTAGATCACAGATCTAATTGATCCAGAAGTAAAACCTTTCTGATGCCACTAGTGGCATGTACTTCTTACCTTTTCTGTTTGTTTTGCTCTGCTGTAGGTGAGACTCTGAAGCTTGCTTCATTTTGCTATATCAACCTCTCTGCTGCTATAGTTGTGCATTAGCTTAATGTGCTATGCTGTTGTAATACAATGTAAAAAGTCTCTTGTCTCTTCTGTCTTTGTCACTGCAAGCTGCTAATCTGAATGAAGTGGAAAAAGGTCAGTTGTCTTTTAAGCCTATTTTCACTTACTTTTGTTTCTCACTTTCCTTTCCTTAAAGGTGCATGGATTCCAGTTCTTACAAATGATCAAATAAATCGTATATACATATAATTTAGAAAGCTCACTGCAAATCCTCAAATTAGGCACTTGGCTCTTGCTGTGAATACATATCAAAAGAGTGTCATTGAAGATGCAGATCGCTGTGCAGGAGTACTTTAATACTACCTTCACTGTCTTTTTTTCAGCTATATTAAAAATCTGTACAGCCACTGATAGGACTAACAAAAAAGTTTACATGGTGATATTCTGAAAACTTTATTCTTATCACCTTAAAAACATACCTTGATTCCATTCTCATGTATTCTCTGTTTTATAACACTGTTTTGCTTTAATTTCTTGATTAGATTTTGGTACTAGAAAATATGTTGGAGTATAAAATGGCAATCTTCTTGCTCATCATTTCTGTGGCCTTTTTTTTGCTACAAATACCTAAAGAAACTGAAATGACCACACTAAGTTGAGGCTATGGTACAAGGAAGGTAATAGTGGAGAGATTTATGACTCTAACTTTGGGTGTTCCTGATTTTTAATTTTTTTTTTTAAAGTTCCTGCCTAACACCTATCTCACTAACAGAGATAAACCATTTTCTGTACAATATGGTCATCTATACAGTTTGAGAGCTAACATAATCAGTGATGACATATATATAAAGTTACATATTTAGTTTTAAAATCAAATTAATCATCTTGTAGTGTATTTGCCATTAATTTAATTAGGTAAATATATTTTGAAGTCTATAAAGCAATATAGTATTTCACTAGTAATAAAAATATGTTCATTATCCATGAAATAAGATGTTGACCAAGGTTGCAATTATACCATCTAGGTTGATTAATTTAGACATCTGATGAATAATTCTTACAACTTAAACTCAGAGCCTAAATTCTCTCTGTAGGTGATGGACGTTTTCAGAAAGTGATTCAAGCTATAGGTGTTTCATGTGTAAAGCTATATTCCATTTAGACATGTTGCTATATTTGCATTTTATTATTATTTACTTGAACAGAAAAGATAGTCTCCTGTATTTCTTTCCCCTTGTCACTTCCTAAGTTATTTTTTCTACATTGTTCTGTTACTATCCCAGCACGAACCTGGATAATTTTATAAAAGAATACTTGTCCCTAGAAAACCTAGGAAAAGAGCAAGCTTAGTATAATTAATTATAAAACTTGAGTTCTTTGTTATTCTTGGTTTTAATTAAAAAAAAAAGCAAGAAAAAAAAAAAAAACACAAACCCAACCAAACACACACACACACACACAAAAAAAAAAAAACAACAGACAAACAAACAGAAAACCCAAGAAGATTACAATAACTAGTTCAACATCTGTGATTTATAGATAAAATTTTGCTTTGTCACTGATTTCCGGTAGCATAAATGACAGAATTTTAGGATTTACTTCTGGAAATTAAAAGAAAAACTTAATATCTTAAATATTAAAACTTAATGTTCATGAAAAATAGCTTTTTAAATGGAATGTAAAGGGAAGATGCTACTATGAAGAAACTCGAGTCTTCATTTCAATTTGAGGCAGCTCTTACCTGTGTATAATTAGTCTTGCTGATAGTTTAAATGTCTTTAAAAGTGATTAAAGGTAGAAAGGCAATGAATCCTAAACAGAACCGTAGTCACTGTAAATGTATTACACAAGTGTGAGCTATAACATATTAAAATTACTGATTATGTCAAGAACAAATTCCTCACAAATGAATTGTCACACACCCAGGGGATGTGAACTAAGTTCAGCACCAATATTAAGCAGATGTGTATGTGATACATGCTTGTCTTAGCTTGCCAGCTGAACATGAAAGTTATTAATGGTCTATAAGTTGCTTGGAGGATCAGTCAGTTTTATCATGTTAGACATCTTTGCTGTTGTGACAGTAGTAGATTTAAAAAAAAAAGGGATAATTTTAAGTAATTATCTCAGTTTAGGCAAGCCCGAGAGAGAGACAGAGAGAGAGAGAGATGTATTTTTACCTTTTTTAATGTGTTTCAAAGCTTCATTATGTGGATTTCTTGCTATTATAATAAAGGAGTTGAGTTACTACTTTCAATTCACTGGGTAATCAAATAAGTACCTGCCTAAAATTTAAGCATGCAAGTAATCAAATGGAAATCATGTCATATCAAACTTGATAAAAAGTTTTATTATTTCATTTACATCAGGATCATAATCCTTATTCTTATAAGAGCTATACATAAGTGTTACAGTTTCTTAGAATAAAGAGATACCTCTTCTACTCTTGCTTTTCATCACTCATAAAATTTTGTTTCATTTAGCTTAATATACTTCAAATGACTGTTCTATATTAAAAGCTCAAGTATTAAATAAATTTTACTGTATTTTCATAATGAGGGGATATACATGATATCCTTGACAAGCTGAGATACCTGCTTCTAGTTTGATCACTGCCATTACTGATTCTGGACTATTGTCTATCCTTTTGTTTTCCTTAATTGTCTTAAAGCTTACCTGCCTCAAAGTTGCTATTACTTTGTTGTTGCCAAACAGCATATATAAAACAAATAGAAATTTTAAATTCAATAAGCCCCATCTTTTGGTTTTTTTGACATCTGAGATCAACAAGCATGGTGGATAGATGAACGGAATTAAGCAATGGTGAAAGACAGCAAGGAATCATATCTAGAATTTGACTTTAAAATTAAATTCCAACAGAAAGTTCAGATTTGCGGTTATAAACTGCATGCAACTGTGAACTTTTTTTAATTGTAAGCAACTCTGTTCCTCATATAGTATATATTTTTATTTGTCTTTTCTGAATAATGAGCTCAAAACTTTAAATAATTCATGTTGTCTACTGTTCATCCAACTCAAGACTTCATTAAAATTCATCAATTTTCTGTATATAGTCTGTTAAACGGCACTGACATTTTCCAACCACTCCTACACTCTGTTGGCTATTTGAGTCAGAATTAATTAAACAGAGACTTCCAGTCAAAGACTCGGATAATACCTAATTGATAAAACAGAAATATGGCAGAAGTTGACTCACAGTATATCGCAACCAAGCTCAGAAGCTGGAATGGACATAATTGCACACATATAAAATCATGCTATTCTAGCAATTATCAGTAAATCCTTAATATGTATTTGTTATTTTAGCTTTGGAACAGCAAATAAGTCTTCTAGCAAAAACCTGTTTTTGAGAATTAAAAGTGACCACTCTTTCTTTTGCATTCTGTCTTTAGTTTTTGTTCTAATATCATAATCAGCTTTGCTATTAGTGATTTTTAACTTTCTTCTTTAGTAAGCTTGCCTGTAATTAGCAATTTGCTATTATATTCAGGTCATGTCCATTTGGGTTAGAGCTCTCCTCTTCATTCAGAAATATGGTGGCTGACATTGCTTTATTTGATTGTATTTTGAATTTATTGCCCAATTATTCAAAATAACAATGATGTAAATCCTTTTTCAGCTCATTGCATTGTTCCTCAGTATTTGGTGTACTATATGTCTTTATAAATTGGAAAATCCAGAGTTAAGTGTCTGTTCAGCCTTGAGAAAAGAAGGGCTAGGGGAGACCTTATCACAGTGTTTCAGTATTTAAAGAGTGGCTACAAAGAAGATGGAGACTCCCCTTTTACCAGGAGTCACAAGGAAAAGACATGGGGCAATGGGTACAAGTTACTTCTGGGTAGATTCCAACTGGACACAAAAGGAAAATTTTTCACAGTGAGATCAACCACTGGAATAATCTCCCCAGGGAAGTGGTGATTCCCCAACATTGGACACTTTTAAGATTTGGCTGGACAAGGTGTGCTGGGCCATCTTGTCCAGATGATGCTTTGCCAAGAAAGGTTGGACCAGATGATCCCTGAGGTCCCTTCTAAGCTGGTATTCTATGAATCTGTGATTTACGATCTCATCAAGTCATATGTGTGAATTAACATACAGACTGACCTGTGAATATAGCAAACATAACTTTGGTTAGTTAACTGAGGATTGCACACAAATAATCATCTGTGTTTAATAGTGTTGTCTGGCTGTTTGTCTGCATCATCCTCTATATCTAGCTGCAGAATCTCAGTAAATATTCCAGTCTTGACTATGGAGGATTGTGTTCATTTGGACTGTGCCAACCACGTAGAATTCCGCTGGTTGCTGTGTGACTCCATACCAGAATCCAGACTCCCTAGATTCATTAAGCAAGATGTCTTAAGAAAATAGTTATTGCTGGTTCTAATTAAACTTTGGAACATTTTCATAGGATTTTTGACACTTTATCCACTGCTTATTTTTAAACAAACTAGTCTGTTGCTTACTTTCCTACATACAGAAATGTTTCCATTTTTCAAAAACATTATTACTTAGCCAAGCTCCTACAGAAGCCTCAGTTACAATTTTATTAGATGAATAAAAGAATGTACACATACATCAGTATCAAGCTTACTTGAATTGAGACATTTGTTTCACAGTCCTTTTTCATTATTTTGAAGTATGTTTTTAAAAAACATTGTATTATGCTTCCCAAATCAGGGAAGTCCCTAGGATTTCCTTCCAGTAAAGCCAAGGAGCCTAACTTGGTAAATCTGGTATTTCCTTCAATGAGTGTTTCACTTTAATCACTATCTTTTCACTTCAACAAAATTACTTTCTCCCCTTCACCTTGTCTCAGTATAATTCTGAATAACACATTGGTTATACAGTATGCTAAAAGAGATGTTGCTTTACAAGGAAACTATTCTTCAGTGGTTCAGATACCATGTCTCATATTTCTACTTATTTCTTCTATTAGCTTTTTCACAAACAGTTATATTTTGGTTATGGGACTGCTCCATTCAGAATACAAATCTCTTAACAGTACAAATTAAGACCTCACACTTGAGTTATTTTGTTTGTGTTTTTTTTTTTTTTTTTCCTTCTGGTAATTATATTTTCATTCAGAAATTCAGTATATTATGTACATATTTTGGATTCCATCTTGAATTTTTCTTGTTTTTGTTTTTACTGATCCTGTATGAAAGTCTGTCATGAATGCTACTCTTTCATTATTGTGAATTCCACTCTTTCATTATAATGAAAATTTGTACTTTACGTAAAAGTTAATTTTTGTTCAGAGGATTTTTTACATTATTATTTCACTGCATGGACTGCCATGTTTACCATGTCCTTTCCTTGATTCCTGTTTCCTTCCATAGGCAAGCTGCTAACAGACTGTTTAACTGAAAGCTCCCTCTAGTAATATAATTCTGATTTATTTCACACTGTATATAATTTGCAAATGCAAGGGGAAACTTTCCTTCCTTTTATGCTGTCACAGCACAAAAAGCCCTGTCTTTTAAAAACAACCAGGTTTTTGAATTGTTGTTTCTCTTCTTTTTCAGTCCACTTTTCTACAGAGTACTCAGACCAAAATCTAACCATAATCTCAAAAATACCTGATGTTTGCAAGCTCTTTGGCTGCATTAGGCCTGGTAGTGTAACATTGATCTTATGATTTGAAGTGGACATTTTTCGAAATTGTAAGCCTGTTTCAAACTTAAACTTCCAGTTTGACCCTCAGTCTCTATGCAGGATTCACACCTATGTCTTGCTAATTAAGACTCTTCAGGTGACCCTGAGCTTTTCGTGAGGTGATTCATCTTTCAGTGTAGTTCAGAAGATAGCGCCATCAAGCTATGACTATTAAAATGCAGGTTACTCTAAGAAATAAATCATGTATTTTATAAGAACCTGGATGGGGAAAAATAAATAAATTTTAAAATGGACAGACTTAGACACTACTCAATAAAACTGCCACACAAGAAATTTCAGAGGTCTGTGCCAATAATAATCTAAGACATGGTTCAATTACTCTCCAGTAGCAAAATCAATGCCAGCTCAGTAAAGTTGACAGCAATGGTGACATTGCTTGCTCCTATTATGCTAGTCCTAATCTGCCTTTTTTAGATATTTGGGGGGGTTTCCACTGAACTTTTACTGTGAATCTAGAGACAGCAAACCTCCAGCCCTGCTTGAAAGATAGGCTCAATATGTCCCTTTCAGAAAGGTTCTGATATACTGTTAGAATTAATAGTCTTGGGAATGTTTAGAGGTGGCTTTGTCCAAGTCTTGTAAGTACTGAACAGTCACATTTTTATTATTTGTAATTGGGGTGTCATATATTTTGCAGTTCTGCATGTAATTTAATATAGAATATACAATACTTGTATGGGGCTGTGTGTATATATTTATTCATATATACACATATATGTAAGCACGTATATACCTTTCTAAACCACGGGAATGTGTACAAACCAGGTTTAAAAAAAAAATTATTTTTGCTTATTCCACTCCAAGTTCCTGAAAATATGAATTCTCTATTCCCATATTTAAGCCTCACTCTTAAATGTTACTAGTCCTTAAACAGATTTCAGCGATTACAAGTTCTGCAAATTGACTAAATGCTATGTGAAGTATTACTTCCTTTTATATATGTATTTGAAAAAAACCCTTTGAAAAGAGAAAGGGATATGGTTTGTGTTTGATATATTGTGGGATGCAAAGAATCCCTGGTATTCCAGGATTCTTTGTGCACTGACCTAGTCATAACAGTTGCACATTTCCAGACTAATAAGTCCATTGAGAGTTTGAAGAGGCTTCAAGGATAGAAATAAAATCCTTTGTAATAGTCATCTTCAGTGGCCTGCATTTGATCTTAATTCAGTTTCCTACATATATTGACTAAGTCACGTTGTTACCAACAGTTTTCCTGAGGACTGTTAAGTAGCCTGTGCTTGAAGGCCATTTTCTTGTGTTAATTCAAAGCTTTATTTGGTTTTGCAGGGAAAATGCACTACTTACAAACTGGTGATGTGCTATCATTTTTTTTTTTTTTTTAAATCTTTTTGTAGAAATAGTCTTGATATTTTGGATGGCTGCAGTGGACTTGTCTAGCTGGTTTTCACTTCTCCTATTTTTGAAGATTGTAGAGGTCCGATGTCTTATCACACTTAGCATACCTGTTTCAGATGTATTTTTATCCAGCATAACCATCTTTGGCTCTCATTCAGTTTTGCCTTTTGATCTATCCTTGCTTTAATGTAGACTGTTTCTCAACTCTCTTAACTTTTTTTTTTTTAATTTGTACATCATTTGAAATAAGTTCTACACACCCTAAGAGATAAGTCCTGGAAATAATGTCTCAAGTCCTGGGTAGTCAGTATTCATATTCACAATATGCAGTCTACCTTTTCTTAATTCTACCTAAATTGTGTCCTGAAATGGTCTGTCCTTCTTTCCCCATACTGTATTCATGGTGGTGCTGTCCTTATCCTCAGTACTGTATTAACAGTCACCGGAAAGAGGTGAAACCATTATATGCTATTTTAATCTCGGGCTGCCCTTCAGCAGATACTGATTCTTCAGCTAACTACACTGCAGGCCTCTACCACACTCAGATAAGTAGAACTGGGGGGATACAAAATATTGTGGTTCTTTAAAGGAAAGTTCAGCTTGAGCAGGGAAAGTATCTGCACTTCCACTGCTATCTTCTTCTTTTTTCTTCCTCATTTTGGTGTACAGTTCTTTTCTTCGCTCACTAGCTCACGTTTTATTACTTGACAAATGACAAGGGGCAACCCTACTCCTTCCATAGTTTTAGGGCCTGATAGACCAGTGAGTCCCTGAATTCAGAAGTCATGGGGTTTATACCTGTTGATTATAAGTATAGTCTTCGTATGGATGCTAGAATAAGCGTACCTATCTTACAAAGCAGTGCTAAACTTTGCAAGTGCACTATTCATGGTTTCTTCTGATTAGTTAGTCTGGGAACAAGAAATTGTTGATCTGTTCACACACCTGTAATTGTTTCCTTGTTATAAAGTTGTAAACAAAATCGTATTTTAACCATACCAAAATATTTACAGCTTATACAGCCCATATTGGAAATTAGTGCCACTGCTTCTAGCAGCAGGGAAGGGTAGACATTTGACATACATATGTTTTTCTTTTCACAGAACAGATTATAGATAATTATAGTACATTAACAAATGCAAAAATTGAAGAGTCATACTTAAGAAAAAATAGAAAGCAAGTTTTCATTTTGGGATAACTGGAATTATATTGACATGCAGTGATATTAACAGGGCTTTTTCAGGTAATAGATTACTTACAGTGTAAATCTGTGTATTTCTGTGTAATGTGCTTAGAAATAAGAGAAAACCATATTGATGGCTTGTTTGCTCTAGTGAGAAGATATTCAATCACTAGTGTTTGGCTATACAGCAGAAGTAGATAAGTATTGTAAAAAAAAAATGTTTTTTCACAAAGTTATCATTTATAAACATGGATAGATGATTGACATTGAACTATTTTTTTTTTTTCTAAAGGAGTTATCAGAAAGATCGGTATTTTTTGTTATTACTTATGTATTAATACTTATTTATTAGTATTTATTATATCATGAAGTATGCATTTTTCAGTGTTAACAAAAAGTTGTAACAGCTACTTTAAAAACAGAAATAGCTATTTTCAAGTCACTGTGATATTTTCACTGAATTGACAGCATATATTATATTTCAGGTGAGCTCTGTGAGGAGAAACTAGATTTCTGTGCTCCAAACCTGAATCCTTGCCAGCATGACTCAAAGTGTATCCTGACACCCAAAGGCTACAAGTAAGTCTAAAATATTGTCACAGTCCAACTGATTTCAAATTCCTATTTTTTTTCCTGCTTAATTTATTTTCCTTTTGTTTTAGTGGAAACAAGTTCTATTCTCAAAAAACTAATATCAGTTGTTGTCAATCATTACAGCAGAATAGTCCATTATTTACATGTAGATCTACATTATTATCTTAAATATGTTTTACTGAATTTTACTGTTCCTTAACAGTTCTAATTCTAGTCGGATTTTAAATAGGAACAGAGAGTACAGCAGTTAGTCTACTTGACATTCTATATAAAACCCTTTCAGTGGCTTGGACAGTAGGAAAGTAATTCCATTTAATTGAAGTGGAATAATTATACTGCTTACTGAGAAGTAATTGTGAAAGAGATTATTAAGAAGGCACACTGGAAGGTATAAACTAAAGAAGTCCATCCCCAGGAAAACTAATCTTCAATTATACCATATCCTTATCATAATTAATCAGTATGCACAGTATAAAGTGTTTTTAATAAGCTTTAGGTTAATAAATATAGGGAAGATGCAGCTTTCAATTGTTGTCATAAGCAACTGTTTTACTGTTTTATGCACAGTATGCTCTTGTGCTAAAATCAGATTATTATCATTCCTACTTACGAAATTACATTTTATTTAAAATATAGCAATTAATATTAAAATACAGTAAGTATTCAAATGAACATGAAATCAAGTCAATAGTTTTCAACTGGAAAATGGAAAACTTGTTGAATTTCAATTGTTATGCTCTATGTTTATTGTCTTCATGCCACTTCAGCAAACCTAGTTTGGCATATTATACTTTACTGCCTAGTTCATTAATCTTCCATGTTACTTTATGAGACTTTAAATGAGAAAATAGCACATGCAGTAACTTCAAGAATGCATCTCAGTCAGCTTTTTAATAGAATGCCTTATATTCTTTTTTCACTTTTCTTATTTGTATATGTTGTTCAATAAAAACTGAGACATATTTGATTGAAGTATTTAATTTAAAGCTACACAGCTGTTTAAAATCACTCTTGCCACTGTAGAGCAAATTTTAGATACTAAAAGACACAACACCAAAGAAGGAATCACAAGATCTAATGAAGTCAATTAGATACATCTTAATTAAAAAAAAAAAATGATGTGGATGAGTGAATTTGTAATATTTTCCATTCATTTTTCATACAGTTCTGGGCATTCACTCAGTCTAATATATGAGAATTCCCTGAAGAAATGCCACTTGTACTAACAATGAGAATTGTATGGGGAGGGAAAAAAAAAACAAAACAACAACAAAAAAAAACCCCAAAACATTACATACTATCTTGAGGATATGATGTTTCTAGGTCAGTGGGGGCTCAGGAAAGGCAGAGGATGTGTTTTGAGACTTTTGTTAGTTCACTAACCATTGAGCTATTTATGGTAAATAAGGCTGGTGGAACTTCAATGGGAAAAAATTTTTGCATAACCTCTAAACTGTATAAATGGACCATTGGTGCATTTATAGTTGTTCAGTCGAAAAACAAAATATTCATCGGTGTAATACAAGCCTTGGATTATTTGTCTTAATTTCAGCAAATAGGCATATTGATTATTTTTAGTGTTTGCAGCCACTTACGACATCCTGTAACATTCTGCATTACTCATAAATTCCAAGAAGAACTGTCAAAATGATTCATGAGGGTTCTCTAGAACCACAGTTCTTCAATATAATGGCAGATGAGTAAGCATGTGTAACTAGTAAACCTGTATTCATTGCATATGTAAATTCTCCATATAATAACATGATTAAGCTACATAGTCTTTACACACAAAATCACAATAATGCAGTTTTCTTGAATTTTAAACAATTCAGTAGTTCCTTTAACTTTGTCATAAGCACACTGTATTGTTAAAAGGCACTGTGCTATCCTACTTGCTTTCCTGTTTCACAGATGTGATTGCACACCTGGATATGTAGGTGAGCATTGTGATATTGACTTTGATGACTGCCAAGACAACAAATGTAAAAATGGAGCACAGTGTACTGATGCAGTTAATGGATATACATGTATTTGCCCAGAAGGATACAGGTGAGAAAGATCCAAAGACAGTGTAAACATGTATGTCTTCTGTCAAAGTTGCTTTTTTTTTTTTTTTTTTTGGAAATACTAATTTTTTCTGTTTGTATTTAGTGGCTTGTTTTGTGAATTTTCACCACCAATGGTTCTACCTCGTACCAGCCCTTGTGATAATTATGAATGTCAAAATGGAGCCCAGTGTATCATAAAAGAGAGTGAACCAATCTGTCAGTGTTTATCAGGCTACCAGGGTGAGAAATGTGAAAAGCTGATTAGTATAAACTTTGTCAACAAAGAATCCTATCTACAAATCCCTTCAGCTAAGATACGCCCCCAAACCAATATCACTCTACAGGTAAGATTGCTTGTGTTGTAGATTCTGATCTAAAAAAAAGTGTAAATGACTTTTCATGTGTGGAAAATTAGCCAAAATTGTCATTGGCCCACTTGAAGAGCTTTTCACAGTTTGAGATAAAAATCTAGAAGAGTCACTGGAATAACTGTATTCATATTGAAGTACATGGCCTTATTGTTAGAAAGAGAAAGAATTTTGTCAGGCTGTCCTTCAAGGAAGAATTTTATAGTGAAGTAATAAGCAATAGTAGTAAATTCAAAAATTCACTTAATACATCATTTTGATTTAACATTGATTTTTAGTTCTTTCTAAGTGTTTCTTTCTTTTAACTAGATTGCCACAGATGAAGACAGTGGGATCCTACTCTACAAAGGCGATAAAGATCATATAGCGGTAGAGCTGTACCGGGGTAGAGTGAGGGTCAGTTATGACACAGGATCTTACCCAGCGTCTGCTATTTACAGGTGAACCCAGATGAAACAAATTTCTATCTGAAACAAAACATGTATTGATTCCTTATATCAGTCACATCTTTAATTAGATGGTTGAAAGAAATATATGCAAATTAGTGTATTGTCAGACATTCAAAACTTATTGCCAAAAGACATTATTTGGCTTGGAAAATAACTCTACTGCAGATATGTCAGAAAGATAATATACTATTTGATCAATTAAAACTTAGTAAGAGTTAATTTTCAGCAGAATATTTATACATTTGTGTAAAGCTCACATGTGAAAGTGGAGTTTTTTCCATGATGTTACTGCCAAATTTCCTAGGGTGCAGTGTAAAGTGCAGAACTATACTGCACAAGCAGAAATTAAATGGAAGTTTCTCTTCTCTTCTGTGGTAAGCAGTCACATAATGTGGGACTTTTCCCTGGCAAGTGAAGAGAAAGCTAAAACCTTGATTCTGAAAAAAGGCACTACCCTTGAAAAAGAAATATATTTTGCTTCCAAAGTCATTAAGAGACAGAATCCACATCTGCTTCTGGAGCATAATTTTTCAGGTTTTTTCAAGTCAAATTTCTCTGGTTCTCTGAAAAATTACCACCTGAATTTCCAGGGAGGTTTTATGTAACTTCTCAAGAACTTGCAGACATACATTGCAAAAGGGATCAAAAAGACAACATGCATCACTACTTGGCCTTGATTTCCCTGTTGTTGCTACAAATACATTCAGAAGTAAAGGGGAAGTGTTAAATGAGTTTTCCTTGAATCTTGTTTTTACTGTATTTACACCTTTTGTGTTGTAAAACGATATCTAGTGTATATTTATTTGCCAGAGTTTGTAGCAGCTAACATTGTTCTTCATTCTATTAGGGACATTCTATTGAAAATAAATGATTTTTAGAAATTATTGCACTCAAATGGCAATATAAAATCAAAACCTTAAGATTATATAGCAGGGAAACAATGTTAAGCTTTGTTAGGTAATAACACCAAAGGAAGTCTGTTTTTAGTAGATTACTAAAAGCATTGCACAGAAAAAAAAATTTCTATAAAATACAATATAAATTTTAGTAAAAACATAGCCTTTTACAATAAGCATCTTAAGGTTGTTTTTATTTTCTGATACAAAATATGTATTTCAGAAGGTTTTTTTTACAAGTCCATGAGCTGGTTTAACATGTGAAAATTATATATGTATTTTAATTGTATGCATTTTCATATATTAATAATAGGACTTGATTGTACAGGAGATGAAAGTATATAATACAATTTTAAAATTTCATGAAATATTCACTTTTCTCAATGACTACAATTCAAAATAAGATTATTTTTCTTTTCTATCTGGGATAGTGCTAAAGAAGTTTGGATTGCTTTGTCAGGATTTTAATTATTTTTGTTGATTTTTATTTTGATAGGTACAGCTATCTGAGAATAGGACACAATGTAATTTCAAATTATTTTCACTCTCATTTGTTTTATCTATCAAGAATACTTTTTCCCACACATAACATATATTTCCTTCTCATCAATTTAATACTTTCTCCAGTATTACTGAAATATAATAAATACAGGTAATTCACATTTATCAATTTTAGTGTTCTAGAAAAAGATTGGAAAATAAGTCACACACGTAAAATAAAAATGCATAAATGTATACGAGATTAATAACAAAGTATTCAATTAACAAACAGTCCCAATTAGGCTAGTGTTACAAAACAATTAGAATGATATCCCCTACATAGTTGATCAGCTCTTTTGAATAATGTGACAAGTGGAGAATGCAGGTGCAATGAAGAATGCGAAACATAGTGAAGTGTCACAGGGAGACACAGTTGCTTAGTGAAGCAGATACACACCTTTATATTATTATTATTATTATTAACCTCCCTTTCATTTCAAATAGGCATGAATGGCGAGTTTCTAGGATATTTGAAAATTGTCATGTAATGTTACTGAGATGAACTGTAATGAACTCTTTTGTCCTTGAAGGAGGTGCATATGTTGGAAGCCATGCATACATTTCCACATTTGTACATATATAGATATTATTTAATTTATATTCCAGGTTCTAGAGAGGAGTACGTTGTAGTACAGGATCTTTTACATATTATACTCTAATCCCTTCACCCTTTGCAGCCTATTCCTATTTTTCTTTTTGTTTCCAGCCATCCCTGTTAGCAGTTCTTTCTGGTTTACTGTCCTAGGATCTTGTGATGTTTCCTGCCTTTTATCAGCTTTTTACATTCTTTTCACCCATTCATTGCCTGTTGTTTTTCTGTACCTTTGCTACCTATTAAAGCTGTCTTCTATCATGTTTCCTGTCCTTCTTTCAGGCCCTCCATTTGGTCTCTTTCCCTCCTTCCCTCCCTTCATTTTTTTGTAAGCCAGCTAGATCTGATCATCTTTGCTCAAAATCTGATCACAGACATAATTACATTAACCTACTGATTCACTTTTCCATTCCTCTATTTCATCCCTCAGTCTCTTCCTTGACTCAATTTCCAGTCCTGTTTTCCTTACAATCCACTACCACCCATTACTCTTGATTCTTGCTTTATTCCAACTATTTCTAGCCCAATCCTACCTCTTTCTCTTCTTTCTTCATAGACCTGATTTTTGCTTCTTCTGAATGAGAACCACACAGTTTCTTTCTCTGTCCATGTAACCTTTATCTAGCTAAAGCAATACCTTCTCTTTGAATGGGCTGGCAGGCCCATTCCAGCCAGTACTACTGCAGCCCAAAACTACAGCTGGAGGGAAGGTGCTAATCATCTGTGTGTTGAAATATAGTCAGCACGGACAAAGAATTTTGGGATCTAGCCTTCCAGTTTCTGCAGACTTCCATGTTTTCAAGATTTTAACACCTTGCCTCAATGGATTTTCAGGATGACAAATAGATAGACATGGTGCCAGCCCACTGCCAAATGTCATGAGCTGCAAAACAGGGTTAATAGAAGCATAAAAGATAGGAGTGTGTTCCCTTCAGTTTGGGAAAGTATCTGGTCTGTTTAGAAAAATAAAAATCAGTTTCAGGCACCATCCAGTATGGAGAATTTTAGAAGAAACAGTTGAAGCTTACCAAAATTCTAAATAGCTAAAATAATATAGTGAAATAGTGTTGTGGGTTAACCCCAGTAGGCAGCTAAGCACCACATAGCTGTTCACTCACCTCCCCTTCCACCAAAAGTGATGAAAAGGAAGAGTAAAAGTCAGAATAATCATGGGTTAAGATAAAAATAGTTTAATAACCAAAGAAAAAGTCAAGGAGGAAAGAAAGAGAACAAAACAAATGCTGCAATTACAATCACTCAGCATCTTCCAAGGGTAGACCAATGCTTAGCCAGTTCCCAAGCAGAGGATGGCTCACCTACCTTAAAACCGCCCCCTCCTCTCCATTTTATTGCTCAACATGACATTATATGGCATTGAATATCTCTTATTCAGAAATAGCTAAAACATTAGTGTGTTATCAGCATTATTTTGGTCACAAATCTAAAACACTGCACCATGTTAACTATTATGAAGAATATTAACTCCATCTCAACCAGATCCAGTACAAACAGATGAAAAATTGTAAAAGCAAACATGTATTGGTTTTTTTTCAGAGAGATATAAAGAAGACAAAAGAGAATTTTAACTAATTTTAACTAATAATGTTTAAGAACAATGAGGTTTAAGAACAGTTTGGTAACAGGGTAGATAGTTTACAAACTAAGATGGGAAGTTGCTTACAATGAGGACAGAAAAGAAATTTTAAAATTTGGAAGTTTATCAAGAGATTTACAGATTTCATTAAGGAAGTGAAGATTCATGGATAGTATAGGAAAAAGGATAAGACACATCGTACTCCACTGAACAGCGATGAGATGCCTGAAACAGAGGCCAAAATAAAAAACATTCAATAGAGAGATTCAAATACAAGTTTTATAATATAAATGGCAGTCAAGAAATGGTGTGTTGAAAAGGAGTCAGATGGGAGCTGTAAAGCCTACAGAGGTGCTTGTAGTAGCAGTGAAACAAAGTTACAAAGATATTACTTAATCATGATAAACGTGGAGAATTGACAGTAACAGCAGTCTAGCTGTGTAGAGTGAATGAGAAGTGCTTTACCAATGGGAATTGTCTGTAGAACAAGCCATCGTCCCAAAAGCAGTGATTGGTCAATCTGAGTGACAAGATAATATGATGGCAGTGCCAAGACCAATAAAGAAAATTAATTAATCGGAGATGTTTATTTGGGAAAAGTTGATCCACTTGGGTTTTGTTCTATTTTTAAATATTAAATGTTCTTTAAACACACACACACAAAATAAAAAAAAAAAAAAAAAAAAGACAAAAAAAAACACAAAGCAAACTTTTCATTCTGTAAACTAGTTTTCATCATATCTTTATCTGAAATATGGGAAATATCAGAAATATGGGAATATTTCTTCCCAAATCATTATTTTTCTACAGAGTTAGAAGCTTTAAATCAGTTTTTCTTACAGTTTTTCATTAGGATCTATGCATTCAGCTCTCATTTCTCCAATGGGAAATGGGCTAGAAGTAATGTAAGTGCATTGGCAGGAAATATTGCACAGATATGCTTTGTGTTTATTTCCCCTTTAATTTAAACCACCCTTACCTAGGAGGGCTCCTCCTTCTGTAGATTTGTACCAGTAAAACAGTTTAAACTAGAAGCTTTTCATAATCACTCTTAACAGAGACACATTCCCTTTACACATTATGTTTTCTACATCCCGAGAATGACCTCTTGATGTAAAAATGCATGTTCTGTGTTGCTCTCATTCTTTTAAATACTACTGTGTGAAAGGTTGGTAGTTATAAAATAATATGTTTCCTTAGAACACGATCGTTATATTAGGGTTTGTTGCTTACTTAAGAAGTTATGCATTTGGATTTCTCAGCACAACTTTTTTCCTGGATTCACTGAAATGTGTTAAATAAATTAATCCTGGCACTTTTCTTATTGCTTGATCATAGCAAACAAACCTCATAATACCTTGAATAGACCTCACTCTTTAGGAAAGATGAACCCTGACCTTTTCCTTCCCCCCCTGGAACTGGCAGTTCCCCTCATGCCCACTCTCAAAAAGCATCTATTCCCCCAGTGTCTGCTCTTTTGTGTGTTTGCACTTTGACATAGAGCTGAGTTTATGTAAAGCATGCATGCTATCATGCAGATCTTTTATCCATGTTGAGCTGAGCCTGTCCATGTAGTTAGTAATAAATAGCTAAGAAGCTATTTAATGTCTCGCAGCTGTAAACAACCATGTGAGTGCTTCTGATTTGTTCCAGGACAAAAGCACTTAGGTTAATTAAAACATCGCTAATGATGTTATAAGGTAATTTGCTTGATTTTTGCCTTGAGATTTAGGAAGCTAATCCCTTTCAGCTATACTGCTTTCCTAATGAGAAGAGCTAAGTGACTGTATGACTGTTCAGTCTGTCTCAGGCTATCATACAAGTGGTTCATTTAAATAACTTTTTTCAAAGGCTTAAGCTCACTTATTTGGTGGTGCCCTGAAGCAAATAAAGGCTCTCATGGGAATGGTTATAATGTCTGGTCTCTGGACTACAGCTCCATGATAACTTCCATGAAGCCATACATTCAGCTCTTAATTCTCCAGTGGAAAATGGGCTAGAAGTAATGTAAGTACAATGATATATTCAGTCCTAGAATTGAGTAATAATACTCTTCCTTCTCTGACGTACTTAAACTGTGTTCAAGTACAGAGTAGTTACCCTGCACTTAAACATTTGCTGTGTCGATACTGAGGCTGGTAAGCATAGGCAGCCATTTCTTGTACTTAGTAACCTGTGTAGACTTGTCCTTACACAGCATAAGCATCATGCTTGAAACAAGCTTTTTCTGAAAGACACCTTTGGCCATTCTCCTACTAGTGGGTCCATATCTTGTTAGTAAGCAGAAGGAAATGGTATATGTAGGCAAGGAAAAAAAAAACGAATACAGTATTCACTGTACTAGCCAGAAGCTTCACACACAGAAGTAACCATGTATAATAAAGATAACAAATTATTTTATTGCTAGCATCAGTGGAATTATCTGGACCAATGATGTGATTTTGTCTAGCAGGACTAAGGTTAGATGTTACTCTATATTCCATGAAATAGTAGGTTTCTATATCACTGGAGTCAACTCAGGTCTTCACACTTGCAAAATATGTAAACACAGTGCTACGCAACATGTAGAATACAGACACACCCACACACGTGTGCAAGTAAGAATCTGAAGTAACACTGAAATCATAGAATGGTTTAGGTTGGAAGGGACCTTTGCAGTGAGGAGGGTCACCTTTCACTAGATTAGGTTGTGCTAAGCCCCATCCAGACTAACTTTGAACACTTCCAACGATGGGGCATGCACAACTTCTCTGGCAACCTGTCCCAGTGTTTAAAACCCTCATATTAAAGAATTGCTTCTTTACATCATCTTTTAGTTTATAGATTCTATCTAAACTAAATCTACCCTCTTTTAGTTTAAAACAATTACCTCTTGGCCTATCACTGTAGGCCCTAGTAAAAAAGTCTCTCTCCACATTTCTTATAAGCCCACTTCAAATATTGAAAGGCTACAATAAGGCCACCCCTGAGCCTTCTCTTCTCCAGGCTGAACAACCCAAACTCTTTCAGTCTGTCTTCATAGAGGAAGTGTTCCAGTCTTCTGGTCATTGTTGTAGAAGAACTCCAAATGTTTATTGTGTTCGGCTTCCTGCCTAGTAAATGTATTTCAACTGATGTTTAGAATATCATCTATATTTATGCAGTTCGTTATTTGATGAGGGCAGGAATAACTTTGAATGAAAAAGGGCTATACATTTACAATACGTATTATTAATAGAGTGTTATTGAAGGGTATTACACTGTTTTACCTCTTAAGCATATGTGCATATCCTTGCTTAAAATCTATTTTTCAGGAGACCGCACTCCTGGTGAAGTTCTGTTCTGAAGTTGTATTAACTCCTAAAGGGGAATAAGATCAAAACCCATTCTAACCAGACCATCAATTGTTTAATAACTATTTTGCAGTGTGGAAACTATTAATGATGGCAATTTCCACATTGTGGAGCTGCTAGCTGTGGATCAGATTCTGTCTTTATCTATTGATGGAGGAAGCCCCAAGATAATTACCAATTTGTCCAAGCAATCCACGCTGAATTTTGATTCTCCGCTGTATGTAGGAGGTAAGAGGACCTTACTGCTTTTTACTAACTGTATCATAGCTAATTTACTGCGGTAACATACATCAATAAACACGTGGTAAGAGACTCATTAATTGAGATAACACCTTATGATGAAACTTCAGCAGTTAATCCCAATTGTTTCAATTTTAACAAATAGTATGTCCTCAAACTGCATCTGTTGCTTTTTTATGAGTACAGATGTTTGATACCCACTGTAAAATTCTGTAATTTTCTAATATTATGTAGCCTTTTATTATACTGAAGAAGTATGTTTAACACTGTTTAGCTACCTGAAGATTCAGTAATGCCTATTTAGAAAGTGTAGAATGGTAGCATTCTGTTTCTGTCATGTTTTACTTTCCTATTTCGTTGTACAGGTATCTGCAGGAAATGATAGCAAGGTATAAAGCCATGAAGTATAATTTATGTCTGGAGATCTTATTGCTTAGGGCTGATAGGAGTTATGACATTAGATAGGAAGGGAACCAACTGGACAATTGCCTCACAGTATGTGGCAGGGTTTGTTGTTAAGGTTTTTTTGTTCTGAGAAGAAAGCATTGTTTGTTTCAGTAAAACTGATATCAGGTGATCGTGGAGATAAACTATTTGAGGTATTGTTGATCATTTTCTGTTATTTACTTTGTAGAATTATGGATTCAAGCCCACTGCTTTAACTAGTAGTTTCTGTTGAATTTCTGATGGGCCTGCATAATATAGGTAAAAGAGTCAGAAGCTTCAGCCACCACTTTGTGCCTTCTTACCACCCTTAGCAACAAGTCTAACTTCTTAGTGATCAGAGATTCAGCATGGTTTTAAATACTGCTGATCTCCTACCAGTCTTTATTTTCTACTTAGTTTAGCCTTGCACTCTTATAGGAGACATGTAAGGAGTCTCCTTCTGATTTGTTCTTTCTGTAAAAAGAATGCCTACTTTCTTTTCCATTTTGTCAATTCTTAAGAAATGTTCATGTCTAAGAATAAGTTTTTAGACTTGCGCATCTTGCCTTCTTGCAAAAAATTATGCTATCAGTAGTACATTCGTGAGATGCCTATTTTCTCTAGAAACCACAAGGTGCTATTTATCCTCTTTCTAAATATACAGAAAAGTGCAGGGTAGTCCATCTCTAATGAAAAGAAAAAAAAAGAAGCTGCTTTAATACTCATCAAGAATAGTCTTTTTCTCCTATAAAACTAGTATAACAGGTGCCTCAGTTACCAGTTATGAAGGGTAAATTGACTTTTGTCACTGAAAATCCCCATTCTTCCATTGAAATACTTCAGCTTTTTTTTGTCAAATCTTTTCAGATTTTGTCATTGCCTCCTTCCATCTAAGATGCGAAAAAGTACAAGATAGAATTCAACATTAGTCATCACTCCCCAGACCAGCAAAGGAAATAATTAAAATTATCAAGTGTTTGAGCTGCCTTTAAAATTGCTTCATATCATGAATCTTCAAAGGAGGATTGGATTGTGGAAGCTCAGCTGCATTTTTTCATGTTGTTTACATAGTGTGTCCTATGCCACCTTTTTTGGAAAGAGAGATGGTCCTAGATTCTAGTAAGACACTGTGCTTTCTTACTTGTATTGTCAACAGCAGTTTGTTATTTAATGACTGCTAAAGTAAATTTTACTACTTCTTGAAAACTGAGCTTCATGCAGAATGATCCTTCTGTCTATCATGTGCACCCTTTGATGAAATGAGGCTAGACTCCCAACTATAAACGTTTATTCTGTGTAGTGCTAACACTTGTTGATTTGTGACATACGGTTCTCCTTGCTTCTTCACCTTGCAGATCTGTATCTCCATTAGGAGAAACATACTAATCTACATCATCATTTTGAAGTATCAGAAGAAATAATTTTTAGAAATAATCTTTTCCTTCAGTGGTTTGACTCCTGAGAGCAGAACTCTTTTTCATCCTAGTGCATATTCTTTAGAGAGGTCCTGTGCTCCTTCTATTTCTACTCTAAACATTCAGGCTCCAAGCAGACAATTTTTTCAGCTGTCATAGATAATGTTGGTCCAAAACAGAATATAAACAATTATTAGAAGCACATTATTACAAAATAAATCAAAAAAAAACCCAGTAGGTTGATATTTAGTTCTTAAACTTTTCTGTTCTTTATCTATGTTTATCTATTTATGATCTTTATAATTCTTGAAGCAGTTAACTTTCACTCTTGTATCTTTATACTACCATCTTTTTGAGATTCATTCAATTTTTTCTTATCCAACTGTATCTAGAATTTTTAGAGAATTTGATCACACATTTCCATAAGTTAAGAGCTCAAATTCTCACTAGGATTTTATGCAGTATTTTTATCTTTGCCAAAGTCTTAGTTTGACACCTATATCATCATGTAGCTTACACTTACTCTTATCACCTTCCTGTTAAAATGGCATTTCTGGTAAGCATCACCTCAGCTGGCAAGATGAAATTCAGACTTGACAGCAAGCCCTTGTATGGTGTTTCTCATTCCCTCTCACCCCATACCCCCTGTCTTTTTTTTTTTTACAAAGTTTTTCTTGGGTCACAATATTTAGGTTGGTTTGGAAGGGGTAATTTTATTTTCACAGAAAGTGAGCTAATCAATTTATATTCTTCTTTTTTTGACCTTTTTCCAACTGTATGGCTATCTTGTGTGGTCAGTATATGCACACTAGATATTTTTCAGTCTTTCTATAACAGATTTCAGTAAATCATATTGAAGGCCCACGGCATTTGTAAGAAGTCTTAAGGGACAATCTGTTTCTTCTCAAAAACTCTTCAAAGGGGTCACAGACTTCACTGATACTTCACATTCTTCTCTCAGAAATTAGAGCATATTTTTTAGTTGAGAGTGGCACCTTGTTTCATGGAAGTCCCTGCTTTTGAGACAGGTAGGGCATCAGCTGCTTTTCATTTGTGCCTGTTCTGTTCTAGCAGCTTCTAGAATGAGATACTCATTTTGACAGTGTTACTGTATGAATGTTATTTAATGGGGGTCTTACCATTTGTCTCCTTGAGCAGTAATTTGGTAATTTACCTGTAGTCAGGTTCAGTGACTAAAAGCTTAGAGGGGGGCAGAACTACTTTCTTACCTTTCCAAAAATAGAGCTGAAATACTTGTCTGCATCACTTCTATGGCAGTTCTTTCTTAACTGATAAAGAACCTTTATCTAAAAATTATCTAAGAAATTTTGCTAAAGAATATGAGCAGCTTTTGCACACACTTTGGCCTTCTAAGACTTGGTAACTTCCTATAAGAGGAAAAAAATGTATAGGCTAAATGCTTGCATATATGCTTGCATTGTGTTTCCACGTCTTCCATATTAGAGATTATAGACAAAAATTTCTCAAAATCACATGTGATATACCTGGTATTATCTGGTGTCATACATGTTTACATGGTTCCCAGATATAGTATCTAATTTTCCTGACATTTACAAGTGTCTAAACATTGATGTGTCTAAACTATAAGATCTAGTTTAGCATTGCATTGGTGTACTTACTTTTATGCAGCTCTTATTTTTATAATGGATAAATTCAGTGCATCTATTCTGTCACTACATACCTCAAGCTATATGCCTAAACAGTTGCTAAGTGTTGCTTTCAAGGCAGACATCAGGGTGAAGAGGCATTGATGACTCTGCCTTGTCCATGGATTTTAAGAATATGGCAAATATTTTTGAGGAAATGGAAACTAATGATTGTTTGCAGTCTGAGTCCTTTAGTATAATAGTCTGAAGCTTGTTTTACTTAACTGATAAGATCAAAGAAAATTAGGCTCTTCAGCACTATTGATGCAATATTGTTCATTTCTATAATCACTGAATCTTAGCACAAATGAAATTACAATAACCTCTAAACGAAAGGTAGGTCTAATTCATTAGGTTGCATAACACTTCTGCATTACTCTTAACCGTTCAGAGTAACTATATAAAACCATTAGAAGTATCAGTTTACATGGTTAAGGAACAACTATGCAGAACATTACCTCTTTCTGTGGTTGTTATCTGAGTACCAGAATGAAAATCGTGAATTTTGCCTAGGAATAGACCTGTACAGTGAATTAAGTGTATTTAGTTTCAGGTAAACAGATCCTTTTCTAATGCTCAGTACACTTTGATTTCCTTTACTTATTAGTCTCGGGAGCTATTTAGGCATTTGTGTATTCATTATTTGAATGTTATATCTTAAGGACTAAATAATATGGGCCAATATGTTGACAGTAAGTTTTAAAAAAAAGCTGAGTGGGTTTCCTTTACGAGGAAACAATGTTTAATAGTAACCTTCCTTCCGATTTAGTCTTAAATATTTAACTGATCACAACAGGATAACTACAGCACATATACCTACTGCTCTGATTACACCTGTATCAATTATAGACTACAACAGAGGAATTTTTCTGAAAATGGTCAACATCAGGGGCATCTGCACTATCCACAAATATCTACACATAAGTATTATGATGTTGAATTATCGTTATTATTGACTATATTTGTTTTAAACTGTAATGGCAAACTATGAGTGGCTTTTTTATTAATCTGGTTTTGAGACATGCTAAGCAAAAATATGAAAACTATTTGAAAAATATTTGAAAGTAAACAGAACCTCATCCTGTTACACTTCTTTTTCCAAGATTTTCCACTAGCAAAATTTCACATTTGAAATGTGTATGCCAGCTCCAACTTGATGAGCTGGTCCTGCTAAATTCTTCTGGATTTGAGTATCTTAGAAGCTTACAAAAAGACATGTATCAGCTGCTAAATTCCAACAACTTTTGTATTACTGAGATTCAGAAACTATGTACTATCCTAGACTTAATTGCACTACGTCAAAACCAGGCATGTACCTGAACCTTTTAACAGTTGTGAGCTTTCTGTATGAAGTCTTATGTACATCTCTTTAGTTAGACCTAGAGACACAGATTTAAAGCTAGTTCACGTGCATGCTTGACAACCCGGACAAATTCTAAAGACTAGATCGTTGTTCATGGTTGTAGGCTGAATATCTATGAATAATTAATTAGGAAGAAATATTTAGTTCTAAATGTTTTAAAAACAGAGAAAAGGGTACAGAAAATTGTACCAAGGATTACATTGATTATTTTCTGCTATTGATTTCCTAGGCATGCCTGTGAAAAATAACATAGCAGCTTTACGCCAGTCTCCAGGACAGAATGGCACCAGCTTCCATGGTTGCATTCGTAATCTGTATATCAACAGCGAGCTCCAGGACTTCAGAAATGTGCCACTGCAAGTGGGAATTCTGCCAGGTTGTGAGCCTTGTCATAAGAAAGTTTGTGTGCATGGAACATGCCATGCTACCAGCCAATCAGGCTTTTCCTGTGAGTGCGAAGGAGGATGGACTGGACCCCTCTGTGATCAACAAACTAATGACCCATGTCTTGGAAATAAGTATGTCCTTGCTCGAGACAGAATAGTAGTATATTATGCATATATTTTGCTGATTTGACTAGAACATCTTAGGTTGGACATTTTATGCATGTTTATAGAGTGGGTCGTGTCTATATATGTGGACAAAGGGAACAAAAGATATGTATACGTGTGTGTATGAGAATATTGATATCTATGCATATTCATCTTTTACATTTAGTATAGAGACAAATTAACTTTTTTGAATTATGGTCTCCCAGCACAAGATCAGAAACTTCAGAAGTTCAAAGTTCTTCAGGATTTATTGGTCATGGGCAACAAGTTGCCATTCTGTGTGCCCTTACCACTGTCCCTACTACAGCTTGGCAAACTTTTTTTTTAAATTTCAATAGGGTAACGTAAGCCTGCTTGGATCTTTTGGCTGCTACATCTTCAGTGCTCTAGCCTATATAACTTTTTACTTTTGAGTACCAGTGGCCTGAGTTTGATAAGAGATTCTACTAAGATGTTTTTCAACTCCCATATTAAATGATGTTTAAGTGATCTTTTCACATAGTGTGTGTGGGAGAGGCTGACCATTTAAAGCTTTATACACCAGTTAGCATGCTTTACAATGCAGATAGAATTGTTTATATTGATTATGGAGTCTTTCAGTATTGTTAAGTTTTGAACTCTTCCCAAAGCTACAGCAGTGAATTTTTGAAGCACATCATCATAGCATTTCATTGTTTATGGGCCTTTCTTACCCTGTCCTCTTTCACAGTAACTTAAGAGATAAAGAAAGTCACAGCAGGTTAAAAAATACAAATGTAATAACATCCATTTTATCCTTTAACAGTCAAAAATAACATGGAATTGTTCTGTAATATGAAAAGCCAAAGAATTTCTTCGAACTGTCCTTGAAAAATTAGATTCTGTATAGGTTCTTATAACTATACACATCAGCACCTAAACTGAGTGCTTTTTGCAGTAAATTACGAGACTTGACAAGTATCAGATACAGGCAATATCAGAGACAGAATTAAGTGAGCACAGCATTAGCATTTTGTTAGCTCTTGAAAGTATTGGGTTTGTTTCAGCTGTATACAATGCTGTGAGCATTTAAGAGAGAAAGCCAAACCAAAATTGTTTATTTGGAGTGGAGAGTTTTGTTGTTCTTTAGTTCCTGGGGATTTTGATTCTGTATTTCTTGATTCATCTCTAAATCTTGTCTATTGAATAGATGCATTTTGTCTGTCCGATACAGTATAACATTTCACTTTATCTGAGAAACAGACTTGTCACTGTGACCTCTGTTTTGAAAATGTCGAGGATCTTTTAGAGAACCCTGAACACCTTAAGGCTTAGATTTATTTGACCTAAATTTACCTAGATTATTTTACCTAGGTGCTTGACTTAGGAACATAGTGACCAAAGTTTGCTCCATAGTAAGTAAAGGAATAAACAGAGTGGTCTAATCACCCTCTGGATTTCTCTCCATGAATTTATGGGGAGTTTATAGCAATTATACATCTAACTTGAGTGTCTGACATAGGTACCTAAAATTAGATAAGATGAAACTGTGCCCAAGAGCTTGCACTTAGCTTGATGTTCCTTTCAGTACAGTCTGAAGATGAAATTTAGGGCTTCAAAGAACAGGTGGAAGCAAAAGCATGAGAGTTGGCATTAGCTAAGATTTAATCATCTTCTAAGTCAAGCAGAACTTTACAAAAGACCCTGACTCATATTGCTTTGATATCTAAAACAATCTGTATAGAATATGACATGATGTCAATGTCATCTGAGTAACTTAATAGATCAGATGTCCTAAAAGTGGTTGTTTTGTAAATGGTGAACACAACAAATGCTGAACATAATTAAAACTAAACAAAAGCTATCTGCTCTGTGATACTGAGCCTTCAATTTTGAGTTGCTTAATCTAACAGACTTGGAATATCAGTCTTCAACCACAGGAACAATTTGGAATTTTTTAGGGAACACAGTTGCTTCAGAAGTACAGTCTCTTCCATAATAGGGAAGTTGGAAGTGCTTAAGCTATTGGTTGAATTTTATATTTGCAGTTCTTAATCCCAAACCGGATATGTGAATGGAGGATATGTGTTGTGCCTTCCATTTAAATATCATGTGACGGTACTGACTTCCCATACTCTTTTTTCCTCCTGGTTACACCCTGCCTAAAGCCTTTGCACAGTATTAAGGGCACAGATGAAGAATTTTAATGTAGATTTCATTGATGAGTGGAACTTGTTGATGTTTATAAACTGAAACAGTTTTAAATAGTTAATACAAGTTTGTCAAAGTTAAAAAGCGTCGTGCGTTCTTTTCAGTTTTACCAAATTTCTTCCTATACCAAAGGAGCAGAGTACAAAGCAAAAATTTTCCAGAAAAACAGACTGTTATCTAAAAAATATCCAAATGAGATGTTGTTGTCAACAGAACTCTTATTTTACTATGAAATGTAATTTTATATGATTTTTTTGCCATCTTCAAATTGAAAGAAAGGATTTTATTTAGATCAAATGGAATTCTTTTTTTTTTTTAATCTAAAGTTTTTCATATATTTATTTATATATTTATTTAGGTCACTGTCACAAGCTACTAAGGAGGTTGTGTCTTACAATACAGAGAAGAAAAACATTAGAGAGGAGAAACATTAGGGAGGGTGACTGACCTTGAACATCAGGATTGCATTCCTCCCTACAGAGGAATCTTCACTGTGGTTTCCCTAGGAAACAGTATGTAGATAGAAAACTTGTGTATCAAGACAACAGTCAAAGAAAATAACATTATTTCTAGGAAGAAAGTTATTGACTCTGTGCCACAAAATGAACTAAGGGAAGTGATTTTATTTCACGTCATTGGTGATGTTTTCAGAAGATGAACTCCCTTAATCTTCACTTTACACCTAGGAACAAGTAATTAAACATCCTCCTTCCGGGAAACACCACCTCTCTCTCAAGAGAAGACTAGTTATGTGTTCCCTCCCATACTACTGTACATCAGAACTTAGCAGATGCAGCTTAACTCACAGGTTTTTTTGTCTAACAAGATTTAAGTCTGCCAAAAATGTTTACCAAAGCTCAACTGAGAATAGCTACTTTAAACACTTGGGTGAGACTTGATATTATATGCAAACTCACCTAGTGTGAGTTTCTGCATGAGTGCTAGAGGAATGCTGTTGGCTTTCAGTGACATAAAGTCCTGCCTCATATATTGTATGACCGCGCTACAGGCAGTTGGCAGTGCAGACTAATATATTTGAAGGGGGAACATGTGTTCAGCTTTGAATCTGCCATTGCTTGGGTCAGAAATGTTTCAGTTAGGAAGTGCGTGACCTTTGTGGTGGGAGCTCCATACTTCATGAGTGACAATATGGTTTTCTTAAATTAGATAAGAACCAGAATGTCAGGTGAGTATCCTTTTTCTCTACTTAATTCTAGTGGGTTACATTTGGGCTTGGCTTTGCTGTGTTCTTCTCAAAAGCATGCTGAAAATTTAGGTAGACAGGAAATGTTGGGTTTAATAACTGTGGCCTGTAAAAGTCTTCCATAACACATCTACAGTGGCTGTTTTCTGGTGAGATAGAGTTCTGTACTGCAGCTTGTTTTGTGTAAACCTGCATACCAATTATAAACCACTTCACTGCATCTCACTGAAAAAGTCCATTAGAAACAAAAGCAATTTCTTCTGAGTACAGTCCAAAGTATTTGTAGTTAATGTTGCTTAGCCTGAACGTTGATGAATAATTTATTTTTATTCTCTTGGGCTTGTTTCCCCTGTAGATGTGTGCATGGTACCTGCTTGCCGATCAATGCATTTTCATACAGTTGTAAATGCCTGCAGGGACATGGGGGAGTCCTCTGTGATGAAGAGGAAATGCTGTTTAACCCCTGCCAATCCATCAGGTGTAAACATGGCAAATGCAGGCTTTCGGGACTTGGGAAACCGTATTGCGAATGCAGCAGCGGATACACGGGGGACAGCTGTGATAAAGGTAAAAAAAATTAATCATGATGTTGATTTGGTCTTACAAAAGAGGTTTTTTAATTAAAACATGAACAGCCAAAAACATTACCAACTTTTTTTTTCCCCCACAATACACACATTTGTTGCTTTTTTTTTAACCATAAGAATTTATCTCGTTGAGAGAAAAATCAAACTTTTCCCATGAATTTGTTTACATTTTGAGGATTTTTTCATCACACATTTTGCTGTGAAAACATTTATCTTTTTTGCCTTTATTCAGAAACACATTTTTGCTATATTTAACTATTACCTTTTACCTGCTGTATCTTTCTGTATTTATTGTTTCTCTGCCTTCTGCAACTGAGAAGCCAAATCCAATGATTCTGCTCCTAGTTTTATCACAAACTCTACTTTTGACCTCTCAGCTTCAACTGATTTATCACAGCGAATTATGCAGGTGAGATGGATAAAAACAGGATGACTTTTCCCCTTACCTTTTTCTTTTTCCTTTCTCTATCAAAGCTCTCCCTCTCCCTCTCTTTCCCTTACCCCAGATGGCATTTATTTTGTTTTCTACATAGATATGAATAGAAGAATATGGTTGTAGAACTTTTAACAGATGTCTCATTTTTAGCTGGTTTTATACCTCAGTAATTTATGAAGTTAGTGGAATGTAACTTGTATTAAATAACAGTTTGAATAATATTAAACTCCAGGTCTAATAAATTAAATTGCATGCTCTCTGAAACATTTCCCAACGGTAAATAGAAACAGCTGCAAGCAATGTAGGAACAGAAGATGTGTATTTTATAAAAGAGGAAAAGATTTAAGCTTCCAATTTTCTTGTCATTGTAATAGCTTTGTATTTATGGTTTACATATACATAATATAAGCTCTACTGAAAATAGGAGCTATAGGAAATAAAACTCAGCATTAATCAAATTATGTTTGGTAGAACCACTAGTTTCCAATATACAATCTGAGTCAAACTTTAAAATATCAATCCCAACTGCAAATAGAAACACAGCATCCTCCTTAGCAATGTCAACCATTCTTTGACCTGTGTCTCAAAATTGTATCTCTTATTTCAAATGTTGTTTTCTACAGAAATCTCTTGTCGAGGGGAACGAATCCGAGATTACTACCAAAAGCAGCAAGGGTATGCTGCGTGCCAGACGACCAAGAAGGTATCGAGACTAGAATGTAAAGGAGGATGTTCAACCGGGCAGTGCTGTGGACCACTAAGGAGCAAGAGACGGAAATACTCTTTCGAATGCACTGACGGGTCATCATTTGTGGACGAGGTTGAAAAAGTGGTGAAGTGTGGCTGTACAAATTGTCCCTCCTAAGTGTCCCTGTCACACTTGTCTTTTGAAAATGTTGTATACTTATTGACCGTGTCGGACTAATTAATGCTTCATAGTGGAAATATTTGAAATATATTGTAAAATACAGAACAGACTTATTTTTATTATGAGAATAAAGACTTTTTCTTCATTTGAAAAAAGATTCAAGTGCTTGAACTGAGACTTCTCATAACCAAGAGGAGCTTTGAAGAAAAAAAAAAAAAAAGACCTGGTAACATTGCAACAGTGATGGGAAACTTTAACTGCTTTTAACATGGATTCTTCTTTATAACATGCTGAAGATATACACTGACACTGTACACATGTGACTTTCAACTTAACAGCTGAGAGATGAAATATTGACCAGAACATGAGGCTTGTTTTTTCACTTTCATATCAGTATATTTCACTGTCTTGACAGACCGCACCAATCACTTACCTATGGATGAGGAAGCATTATGAGTGAAAAGAATCAGATTATACAGAAATAACAATTGTATGAAATACATTTTATCTTTTGGAATTATTAAGCATCTTGAGAAGATGGGGTCCCATTTAATGAATGGGAAATGGGAGATATGAGAATATACTATAATCCTGAAATCTCCTGATGATGTATACTTTTATGTCAGCATGTTAGCAAAAGAAACATAAAAAAGTGTTTATCTGCCCTTTTCCAGTATTAATTTTTTGTAATATAAATGTTTTGGGGATGATAAAAATAGATTATTGATGGATAAATTAGTAATAATATGGATTTCTGTTTCTATGAGTTCTAAACAACTCTATACAGTATTCGGTTTCATTGAGAAATATTTATTGTATCAAAGTACATTGTACTTAACCCTTTTAGGCCATCCCTTTTACTGTTTTTCAATGCTTTAATATATATTAATTTATATTTGTCCCAGTATTTTTGTAATTTTTTTTTTAAAAGGACTTAAAAATCAGGATTTTTTGCAATAGAACTAACGTAGCATGTCGTCTTGGGGTAAATGTTTTCGGTCTGTTTTCTCCTCTCCTTCCCCTTCCCTTTTTCTTTTCCTTAGAGTCTGACCACTGGGTGTCACTGAATCTGAAAGTGATGACAATCTGCAGTTTTCACATACAGCAGATATTCAGGACACCTTCCAAGAACCCGTAATGTATGACAGAAAATGCCATTACACTAGGTGGCAATTGTAGAGAAGTTAATTTTCCCTATATACAGTACTTACAGAAAATAAGATGGCGTGTAGGAAATGACATTAGAAAGTAGATCTTTATAAATTAATATTCCCATGGAGCTCTTTACCTTTATTATAAAAAGGAAGAAAAGGCTGTGCTATCAAGAACTGTGACTTTCCCCAAATAATAAAACTACTTTATTGCCCTATGTTCCCCATGTTAACATGTTGCTGCTAAATTATAATATAGAATTGGTAATCAATAGTGGGTTGTGTTCTTTCAGTAAAACCCAGGGTACCCTGTAAAAATGCAGATGTTTTTCAATTTTATTTTATTATTTTTTTTTACAAAAAAAGTTAGATGTACATGTGTAATGCAGTGTGCTTTGTCTTATTTGGACTGATATCAGTAATGCTACTGATGTTTGTAAATTAAACAGATATTTACTTCATTAACAGCTTTTATTTGTATTCTTCTGAGAAGTTTAAATTGTCTAACAGCCTTTAATTAAACATCTGTAGTTGCAAAGAATATCTGGTAAAAAACAGAATAAAACCCAACCCTAGAACTAGTGTATTCATTGCTGAAAATCTGAAGGAATTCACTTGGTATTATTACACCTACAGGCAGTGACTTCTGAAAATGTCAGTTCATTATGAACACAGCTGAACTCATACCAAAATTAACAAAAGACTTATAAATAAAGTACACTGCATGAAAAGGCAAATTGAGTCTATCCTAATATTTTCATGGTTACACAAATAGCAATTTGATAGCTGTTTTAGCAAGTAATTTGATTCTTCAGAGGGATTAATTTTCACTAATCTTGTACTAAGTATTTTAAATTTAAGCAATCAGATAGGATGATACTTAACCAGGCTTCTCTTCTGTAATATAATTTTTACATATATTTCTGTATTTTACCTAGTCTACTTAGAATTTGTCTAAATATTCAATGAAACAGCCTTTGGCATGAGGCCTTCTTTGCAGTTTCTATGGCTTCTAAATAATCTTCTGTAAATAGGGCTGGCTTTGAGGAAAAAGAAGACACTGTTGCATAACTACTTAAATAGCATTCTTGGAGAATGTATGTGTATGATCGAAATCCCTGTACCAAGTATCTGGAGTTGAACTTCGTTCTGTCCTCATATTGACAAAGAGGAACTTTGCACTGGTATTCAATCAATGTTAGCAGCTACTGAGGTCATCATGGCAGAGACTTTTCGTGGTCTCTAAGCAGAAGGAAACAAAAAATTAAAAAAAAAAACAAAAACAAAAACAAAACAACAAACAAACCCAAAACAAACAACCAAAAACCCTAACAAACAACTTTGGCACCTACCCTTCTAGAGGAATATAAGGCACCTACATCAAAGAGCGACTCAGCTCACCTTAGAGACCTGAGCAGCCCTGTATTCTCACCACTGAAAGTCCTTAAGCATCGACAAGGTGTGCCACTGTGCATGACGAGATAACCTGCTTAGTGGGTTGGGTCACCCTGACACCTTTCTCATGCCTAAATCAAGTTTCTTGTAATATTGCTATAATAGGCTGCCTTGTGCCTGTATTCCCCAAAAGGGAAATGGGGATCTGAGAGAACTGTACCTTTAGGCATAGCTAACACAGTGGAGAATTTAGTTCAGTGCAGAACACTCCAGACACATAGCTTTTCATTCAGAAACATAAGTTATGCAGCTTTTAACACAGTGCTCGGGGATTGGATTTCTCTCCTGGGGTCTGCTGCCTGCTGTAGGAATCACTCTCATACAGTCTGCTTTTAATGTATTGAATAAAATGCATAAACAGCACTGGGTCTGAAGGATACGACTCAGTACACTGACCAAGGTTCTTACTTTGAGTTAGCACTGCATACGTTTAAAATTCTTTTTTTGTTAGAAACCAGGAAAACTGAAACTTGCAGATTCCATAATTTTCTGCCAGTATTCTTAAAAGTTACAAAAGAGAAAGCACATGAATACTGATTAATTTGTACTGGCTCATGCACAGCTCCTACTGTCATCTCTCAGATGATAAAAATGTGAAAGAGCATGGAAAAAAAAGACCATTCTTGAATGAAACTCTAACAAAAGTCATTGATTTTTTGTTAACATTGAAAGTAAATTCAGAACAGGAACTATCACACATAGAATCAGATTCTGCAGCCTGTATTAAAGTTTCTGGGGAAGATGGATATGCAAGTGATAGAAATACTGTTTTAAGCAAATCAATGGTGGGATTTGAATAAGCTTTGACAGATACGGTTTATTTTATAAGCTCTACTGTGATGACAATTTTGTCTTCTATTCAGAATACTTTTTATTGCCATGTGGCAATACCATAAGCCCCAGTATTACAAGAATCATTGTAATATGATGATTCTCTGTATAGGTGCCGTAGTCAATATGGTACTCCTATGATGTTATGAAGGCATTTGCCTGGGAAGACCAGACTGCAGAATTTTTGTAGATGGCAATGTATCTGGCAGACCTGATGATCCACAGTGTATTTGCAGGGGTAGTAGCAAGGCAATAAAGTGGATGTCACCATGTTAGTTTTGAGGAAATGATTGATGATTAAGAGATGAGGGGGAGAGTGGTACATTTTGGAAAGGAGCTTGCTGTTAAGAAGAAAATGCCCAGAAGTTTTGGAAAAGTGTCGAGAGTGTTGGAGGAGGCTGTTTGCATTGAAGCTCTATTTTGGGAGCTTTATCTGTTATTGCTTGAAACTTACGTATTTAAAAGAAACCTCTTTGCAGTTCTGAAAAATACACACTTGATCTTTCTATCTTGAGTTAAGTCTATTGTTTGACAAAAAGTTTTTCTTTTCAAAGCAATTCAAAATCCCATCTTTTGGTTCCTTTTCTGCTCCTTTAGAAGCGAGTGTTATTCTTGCGGTAGCTCATTAGGCATGCAAGTGTCTGTGCTTCAGCTACCCCACCTTACAGTGGAGAGCCTGGCACATACTTTCAGTTCCCATAAAGTGCAATTCCCCAGCTGAGCCATTCAGGATTCTTGGCTTTTAGAAGAAATATTTATACACTGAGCTGGTATCTCCAATCTATTTAAGATTCCTGGAGTGGAAATCAGAAAATCGTTGGTAGTTGTGACTATGTAGAGGCTGTCAGGAGTAAAGTAAAACTGAAGTGTTTGCCTGCATGCCTGGAGAGCCTGGCTCATCCTGGAGAGCCTACTGTTTTACTGTGTTCTTTATGTATTGTGTTCCTGGGAGAGCGGGAAGTTGTTGTGCTCGTCCTTTCAAAAATGTCTGAGAGTAGAGGGATTTTGTGTCCTTTTGCAAATAAATTGTCTAGGCTGGAAATCATAGGCCTCTTTGGCCCTCAGCCAGGTTAAACTGTGTATGTATACCTTAACATCAACCATCATCTTGGACACCAACAGCTCCTGATGTTAAAAAAGTAAATAAATCTTGCTCTTAGTTTAATAAAACACAGATGGGAAAAGCAAACCAAACAGAGAGTTAACAGCTCTATTCACTAGTCTCCTGGGCTCTATGTGATTAAATCAGAGTTGGAGGGTATGTTCCTGCTGCTGCTGTTCTGGCCAGTGTCCGTAGGGGTGATGGCCAGCAAAGAAGTATTCTGTCGGGGCTGCATGTCATTTGTCAAGCTGAGAAAAAACAGTCATCTCACTGAACAGCAAGACTTCTGGCTATCCACAGTCCCAGCAAATATGCTCCAGCTCTACAGCATGACACCCATGCTGCAGGAATTTTGCTCAGCCATGGGAACAGACTTTAAAACTGCCTCCCAGATCCACAGCTTAATTTCAAAATGTTGATCTTAGTATTGCTTTCTGGCCTTTACAACTCCATTCTTTTATTTCATTCCAGTTCAGAGGTAAACTCCTTTAGTTCTAAACATCAAGCCTCAGCACTCTCAATCACTTCCCTATACTAAACACAGGAGATTAAGACTTGTTTTTTGTATTCTTTTTTTAGGTATTCGTTAACATTTGTAGAGGGATCAGAAGATCTGCCTTAAAGAAGACAGGTTACACATCCAGCTACAGAGATCAGTCATTTTCATGTCCTTTATAGTTCAGAAAATGTTATATTACCTCCTGTGGAACAATCTGACATCCATAGATTGATATAAACTTACATATTTTATGGATTTATAGACTGAGACCAAGGGAACTGTTATCTGTTTTCGTCTACTATGACTTTTATTCTTTTTTAGTTCCTTTTAGTATACTTTCCATATCACAAGAGACAAGTAAAGATAGAATGTGCCTGGATTGCTTACTCTGTCATTAAAGTCCCTTAAAAGGACCCAGTAGCATTTTTCCAGGATAGTTTTCTTCTTTCTCATAGTTTTTCACTTTCTGGGCTTCATTCTCCTGTTTCTGCATGAAACTTTGTCCACTTTGTTTAATTTCCAGGACAGATTTAATCCTTCTAAAGAGAGGGAAAGGATACCTTTTTTTTTCCTGCAGCTGTGCCTAAAATCTCTCACAGCCCATCTTTAGAAGTATGTTTTCTTTCAAAGTCTTCTGAGAATAGGCTAACTTGAGCTGGTTTTACTGCAAACTTGTTTTTTTGCTTCTGATTAGCTTTATTTATTTAATCACGTTTCTGTGTTTCTGCTATGGTAACAGCAGTAAGAGTGGTATCAGCTGACCTGTGCTTTAAAAGTTTCTTGCTGTTTTGAAATAGCAAGTCTAAAGAGTTTGAAATGTGCAAGTTCTCTCTCCTTTTTTTTTCTTTTTCTTTTTCTTTTTTTTTTTTTTTAATTAGATCTTCTTCCCTATCAGTTCACCCATCTTCGTGCAGTTTTATGATTATTCTGTAGAGGAAAGGTAGGGACATGAGTCAATACCAACAGTAAATAAAACTGACCACAGAAGACACATATATGTACCAAAAAAATAAATTGTTTCTAAAGTCTCAGAAAAATCTGAAGTTGTTATTCAGTAATTATATTCCTTTTTGTTGAATAAACTTACATGATTAGTGAACAAATGTATTAAGCAATCTTCAAGTACACCCCTAGAAATAGTTTATGCAGTGAGTCCAGGGCTGGAGAAGGAAGAAAAAGTGGCCTATCTGTCACCTAATTCTAGTACACCTTTCGTGGACAGGGAGGTTTGGGCATGTTTCTGTGTCTGAATATCCACAGTGGGACCATGTGGCATTGTATAGACTCCACTACAGAAAAAGGTTCACTATTACCCTAAATAAATAAATAAACCCAAACAACTAATGAGAAACTTTGCAAAGCAGCTTAAAAATGAGAAGCAAAAGGTTTGTTAAGTCCCACTTGATCAAAACAGTGCTCATCATCCATTATTACAAACCACAGAGCAGCCTTTCCTTCACCCCTTCCCACCACTTCCAGGCACTCCAGACACATCTTGCTTCCCCCCTTCCCACCCACCCGGCTCCAGACCTGCCTGTGCCTTTCTCACAGCCCTCCCTGATAAAACACTTCCT